CAATAATGTTGGTAGCAGGGGTTTGTGAATAGACTTTTATAGAGATGTTTGTGGAGCACTTAATATATGTAAGACCTTGTGCTAGGCCTGATGCGTAATACCAGATCATAGTGTCTGCCATCTAAGAATTCCTAGTATAATTTGAGACGGAGCCAAATATAAATAGTTATAAGCAATGTCCACGGGTGCTGTGAGAATATTATCTAGGAAGAGATCATGTAAGCTGTGATGATAGGATTGTTGGTTTTCCACGGAAAGATGGGCTTTCAGCTGTCTTTCAGATTTTTTGTGTGTGTGAGGAAGATTAACCCTGAGCTAACATCTGTTGGCAATTCTACTCTTTTTGCTTGAGGAAGATTGTTGCTGAGCTCACATCTGGGCCAGTCTTCCTCTGTTTCTTGAGTGGGACACCACCACAGCATGGCTTGATGAGCAGTGTGCAGGTCCGCACCCGGGATCTGAACTCACAAACCCCGGGCCGCTGAAGCAGAGCACGCAAACTTAACTGCTACACCACTGGGCCAGCCCCTGTCTTTCAGATCCTTTGTGCTGGTGTAGTCCCTCTCCTGTGGCTGTCGAAAAGAAACCCCCGCTATACAGTGCTGAGGAGCAATGAACACGTTCAGAAGAACAGAACCTTTCTGTGTTAAAACCTGCATTTTAAAAGGATATTTTCACTGGGTGTAGAATTCTGTCTTTACAGTTTTTTCCCAGTTCTTTAACAGTGTTGATCCACTGGCTTGCATTGTTTCTGAGAAGTCTACTATGATTCTTTGTTCCTCTGTATGTAATATCATTTTTTCTTCTGGATGCTTTTAAGATTTTTATCTATGACTGGTTTTAAACAATTTGAATATGCTGTGTCTTGGTGTAGTTTTCATTATGTTTCTTGAGCTTAGGGTTTGTGAGCTTCTTGGATTTCTGGGTGTATACTTTTCATTAAATTTGGGAAATTTTGGGCTATTATTTTTTTCCATTTATTTTCCTATCCCCATCCCCCACCCTCACATTTTCCAGAGGCTCCTATTACATTATGTATTAGGTTACTTGAAGTTCTATAGCTCAATGATGCTTTGTTCATTTTTTCTGTCTTTTTCCCCATATTTCGCTTTGGATAGTTTCCATTGATATGTCTTCAAATTTATTAATCTTCTCTGCTGGAATGTCTAATCTCCTGTTAATCCTGCTCAATGTAATTTTCATCCCAGACATTGTAATTACCATCTCTAGGAGTCTGAGTCTGTTTTATCTTCTATGTCTTTATTTAACATACTCAGTCTATTCTCTAACTTATTGAACATATGGAGTATAATCATAACTTTTAATGTTCTTGTCCATTAATTTTATTATCTGTGTTATTTCTGGGTCAGTTTGGTTTTTCTTTTCATTGTGGGTCCTGTGTTCTTGCTTCTCTGCGTGCCTGGTTATTTTTGATTGACTGTCGAACATTGTGAATTTTATCTGCTTGAGTGCTAAATATTTTTACATTCCTATAGATATTCTTGAACTTTGTTCTGGGACATTGTTAGGTTACTTGGCAATAGTTTGATCCTTTTTGGTTTTGCTTTGAAGTTTTTTAGGCAAGACCGAGACAGCATTTAGTCTAGGGTTAATTTTTCTTCATTACCGAGGTAAAAATTTCTGAGCACCCTGTCCAATTCCTTGTGAAAAGGAGGTTTTCTGCTATGGTTGTTGGGAGCAGGAATTATGTCTGGTCCTATTTGAGGCCCAGATGTTTCCTTCAGTTCTCTCAGGTGGATCCTTCCCTGCCCTCGGGTAGTCTCCTTACAGGCATGAGCTGTTTATTTCTCAGCTGACACTTGGCAGGGTGGCTGGGGCGCCTCCATCAGTAGATCTCCAGAGTTCTCTTGCTGTGCAGCTCTCTCCCCTCTAGTACTCTACCCTGTGAACTCCAGCCTCTTGGGCCTCCCCAGCTACCAGCTCGTCTTTTCAACTGAGGGGAGACCTCTGGGCTCTGCCTGGGTTCCCCTTCCCTGCGCTGTGGCCTGGATATTCTCTCCAGACAGTAAGCGTGGGCAAATGTAGGTCCTTGTTTGTTTCTTGTGTCTTGGGGATTATTATCCTTCATTGTCTGAAGTCCACTGTCTTGAAAGCTATAGTTTTATATATTCTGTTTTTCTGGTTGTTTCAGGTGGTAAAGTAAATCTGATCCCTGTTACTCCATCTTGTACCAGAAGCAAAAGTCCTTTTAGAGCAGGATTTTTACATTTCATCCTCATTTCTGTCATGAAGAAATTAAGTGGCCTTCTCTTTTCACTTCGTCATCTTCCTTTTCAGAGCTTCACGAATAGTTCTTAAGTCAGTGCCTTCCATGTGCTATGCTATATATTTAGTAGCTAAAATAAGTAGACTTAGTCCCTCTACCAGATGGGCTTCAGGTTAGTGAGGGAGGCAGACAAGGTTCTTGATGCCATACTTAAAAGTAATACATATTTTGAAATATCTAAGATGCCACCACAATGTAGAGTGACATGTACATTGTTAAATATAATAAATGATTAAGCATTAGGATTAATGGCCTTCCACTGACACAAGTGAATTCTGTCTTCTAACCATGAGCAGGTGGCCACCCTTTCCTGAACATCTGTAACCCTTCTCCCGTTGAAGGGTCAGCTAGTATCTGTGCTCTTGATCCCCCAGCTGTCCTGAATTTGTCTCCTTTCCATGTGACCTTTTCTTTCCATGTGAGCTATTGTCTGTTGTTAGATCTGATTTCATTTTTTTCTCTTATTTTCACCAGTATAAGAATGTTAAAGACTGAAATATAAGAAATTAGTTGCATTCACTGTATGTGGATGTTTTTTCAGTGAGTTCATATATTTCTAAAAGTAGAATTTGGTTGGTTACTGGGAAGGGAAGGGAGGCAGAGTTAAGGGTAGCAGAAGACCACAGTTATAGTTGATAAATCTGCCCACGTTTCCAAAGGAACTCTGGATGGTGAATGAGGTCAACTATCCTTTGAGTTGTTTAGGTGGAGCTGAGTGTCGCTAGTGACATCTAATACTCGTCTTCCTCCTGTGGTTGGGCAATAGGAAGATATGAGTAATGCCAGTGTGCACCAACAGGATCAGGTGTGTAGAGTGTTGCCTGAAAAATGAAAGTTGCTGGTCCTGTTTGGCTCAAGACTAACTATATTATGGCCTGATCAAAACAGCCAGAACTCCAATGGTGGGATTTTTCTTTTATCCTAGTCAGTTGTTGTGACCAGAGCCTTCCTTGGAATGATAGCCTATGTTTAGATGACTGCAAGCCCATGCAGTCTATCTGGTGCTTGTGGCAGCTCTGGATACTCCTGCTGCTGTTCAAGGAGCTCATTGATGTAATCTGAGACACTATATCCTCACCCTAGAGAACATGCTGTCTTGCTCTGTATGCAATGACTTAAAAGACACACTGCTGTGTCCATTTTTAAGCTTCTGGTTCCGGATGTCTCTAGCAGCCCTACTTTTTCTCAGATGCTTGGCCAGCTTACATAAATGAATAGCCTTTCTGTCCTGTAGACGCTGTGGGAAGCTCTGCCTGGGCGTTTGAGAGTTAACCAGCATTTACTGAGCAAGCCCTCTGTGAGGCACTGATTGTACTATTTACACAGATTGTGCAAGAGATTCTGTGACCTCAAAGGTGCTCACAGTCCAGAGGGGAAATAGCATAGGTGAGTTTGGAGGCCCATTCAGGAGGACCACCAAAGAAAATCAGAAGATAAGCAAAACACTTCTGTTTCTTCAGACTGCTTCTGCGATTGGTGGCTTGAGTGACCAAGCGGCTGGCTTCCCACCATTTATAGACATGTTCTATTTTGAGATTGAATTTGTGGTTTGGGAAAGATGTATAATCATTTTCAAAATGCTTATTGAGTGTGCAAGTATTGTGGTAGGCACAGGGAATACGAAGAAGTATAACCTCTGCTTTTAAGGAGCTGCTCACATCCGGGAAGGCCGGGCATGTTTAAGATTAAAAAACCTGAATGAGATATAAGTCTTCAGAAGAGAAAAGCATAATCATCAACATTTAGTAGGAATATATACCAAGCTCTTAACTCCTCTGGGGAGTGGGGCTTGGGGTCGTGGGGTGTGTGGCAGGGAAAGAGGAAGGATCTTCACTTTCTACTATATACATTTCTGTATGGTTGGAAATTTTTACCAAGTGCCAGTATTGCCTTTTTGGAATTATCTGAGACTAGAAGATTATATGTGTGTTAACCTTGACTATCTCTGTGTTAGGATTCTGAATGATTTATGTTTTCTTTATTATAGCTCCCTATTATTGCCTGCATTTTCTATAATGGGTATATATTATTTTATAAGTAAAGAAAGAAGGTATTTGAAAACCAAAACCCAAAAGCCAAAAGCACCAACAATGATTATTATAACTACGTTTCAACACATTTACCATGTTTTGGATCAGCTTTCACTTTTTTGTGTCCTCACTTTCACCACAACTCTATTAAGGTTGTTCTATTATTATTATTATTAAATAAAAAAGTGAAACAAGGGCATTTGCTCTTCTTTCTATCCCTTGTCATTTTGAGTGAGTTAGTCTAAAAGCAAAAGGAATCCAGCTATTAACTCATTCAGCTATACTGTAAAGGCTGCCTAGAAAAATTTAAATTATGCAGATTGGGTTACAGTTCTGTCTGTCAATGTGGGCTGTGATCTCTTGTTTTAAAGCACCCTCAGAATACTTTCTATATCTTTATATTTAGTTCTGTAGGAGAAAGCAAGTAGATTATCCTAGCTCCCCATCTGGTGCACTGAAGAAAACTCATCTGCTTGGCTCACTTTGTATGAGAGAGAATTAAAGTTTCCAAGTAATTCAGGTTAAGTAGTTAAATCCTGTCTCTCCCAAATTTTGTTTTGGGAATCCCTATCCCCTTATAATTATGAACGTAATTACTTTGAAAGTATAGTGTTCTGAATTATTTAAGGAAGTCAAAGATGCAGAGATGTCATTTCTAAATGCATTTTTTTTTTCCCTTGTAGCATGTGTTCGATGATCTCAGTGGCTCAGTATCTTTGTCTTGGGTTGGAGATAGCACTGGGGTAAGTAGTATTTTGAGTCTTTAATTCAGCCTAGCAAGAAGATGAGGTTAGATTTGGGGGGTTTAAGCACAGAATGTTATTACTTTCTGAAATTGTCTCCAACCTCAATCCCAGAAGATGCACGCTTGCAGGACAGACTCTGAGGAAGCTGTGGTCAGTTTAGTTTTGCTTTAGAGCTGGGAGCATCTTGTGACCACCTTCTTCCATAATAGCAAGATAGACATCCTTTTAGTCCTTGGTTGCTGCTTGGCATCAAGATGAGCAAGAAGAAAGAGGAAAGAGAGTGCTATGTGATGAGAAGGGAGCCTCACAATACTTGAGAAAACCCCTGTGCAGAAGCGGAAAACTGCACATTACACATCTTGGCATTTTTCCTCCAAACTGTATTGTTCCTGTGTCCTTTCTCACAGTTGATGTCAAAGGACTGTGGCGCCCATGGGCTCATGGTTGTTCAACTCCATCTGTTGTCCCTTCCCCTACCACAAAGGAGGTACTACCAGGATTGGGGGAATGAAAGGCGAGTCAGTCAGTTCCTTATCCCTCTTCGTACGTAGCCAATCCCCCTGGAGGAGGGCACTGAGGATGCATTGGCCTCAGGTCTTTAATCGGGGCCTGGTGTTTCCTGGCTCTGTTGTCCTGCCTGAAACAGGGGAGGAGCCACAGCTCATGCCCTCTGGTGTTCCAGTAATGTATGTATCATAGCCTTGTGGCACATGATGGCTATATCAGGAGCCGAAAGAAATATAATTTTGATGCTAAAGAGAAAGTTATAAATTTCTTATTTTAATAAATTTTTAAACTTCTGGTAAAATTTCTTTAGGCGTGTTTCAGTTTCTTCTCAAATTTGAGTTGTGTCCTAATTTCCATGATTCATCCATTTATCTGAGATAGTTGGTATCTCCAAGATTTCCTGTTATATAGCTACTTGAGACTCCCTAGCCTCTTGTACTAATCTATCAGAATCTTTTCCTCCTGCATATTTTGCTCTAGAAAAGTAGTTATTTAAAAGATTAATTTTATGAAGAACTAACAGCAGAGAGAAGAAGAAAAGGACAAAGTGACTTCTATTAGAACATCCACACTATTCTGGCCTCTGTAGGCAGAAGGAGAGATGATTCTTGCCTGAGAATATCTTACAATAATAAGGATACAAAATAGTTCAATCCGTCCTTTACTGTAATGTGCTGTTGAGTAGCTCCGCCTCATTGCTGCAAGTGTAGGCGATGGGACCATCTCAACAAAATGAGCTGAGATTTTGAATCACTGTAAGCCCTAGCAACTTGGTCCTTCTGAGTTTTCAGATATATTACAATATAGACTACTACAAAACAGGGCTATTGGCAATCTTTCAGATATTGATTTAATCCCAGTGTGTGCAAGCATGTAATTGGACCATCTCTCTTATTGACTGCATGCTTTTGTCTCTCTCCAGATCATTCTAGTCTTGACTACCTTCCATATACCACTGGCTTTTGGACAGTCCAAGCTATATCGAAGGTGAGATGCATAACACATGGCTGGGATATTTGACTGAGTAACATGTTGTGAATGTAAGTTCCCCCCTTTTCTAGACTTGATGGAGTCTAACAGTTGATTTAAAAGATCTTCTAGCCATCTTAAATTTTCACCAGACTGTCTCACTTAGCATACTTTTTACTATGTATTTAGCAACCTGAAGAGGTATGAAAACAAATCTACTTCCAAGAAGATTAGGATGACCCGACTGAGGGGCAAAATGACAAGGGAGGATGAAGGAAGAGTCTGTAGTGGTGTGTTTGTTATTTTAAATGGATATTTATTTGTAGGAAGGTAGTATGGAGTTTAACCATCTTTCTATTTGTGATGAGCACAAAATGGTTTTATATTCCTGAAGTAACAATCCTCACTATACCTTCCAAATAAATATTATTTATGTAGCATTTTGAGCCCCAAACAGATGGTCCGTTGATCAGGAGGAGGTTCTCAGGTCGGACCTACCAAAGTGCCTTGTAGTGTTCGCATTGGTAATGACAGTGACGGTGTATGTTCTGAACCATAACCTATACTGTGACATTCACAAAGTTTTAGAGTTGTCTTCTCAAAGGTACAGTTTGGTTAAATAGTAGGTTCTTTTCCTTAACCGTAATATTCAAGACCAACTAACTTCCAGAAATTGCTGATTATCTCCTCAACGGGAGTGAACCCACATTGAAGCTCTGAGATAGATCGGCCCAGGGTCGCTTCCCCAGCAGGTGGGATCCTTGACTGCTGCTGCTCTTGAGCCGGCAGCCAGCGCTCTCTGCCCTTCAACACAGTGATGCAGGCTCAAAAATAGGCCAAGAGGAAATTGCCATCTTGAAATTGCTGTAAGCTCCATGAAGCAAGGTTCTTGACTAACTTGGGGTTCTCTCACAACTTGCCTAACAACTGAGTCACAGCAGGCAGGCAGTGCATATTAACTGAGTGAATCAATGCCTTGGCCTCTCTATAATTTTTAGACTGGTAATATCTTCCTATTTATTTGATAAAGGTTGACAATGTCCTATAGAATCCTAGTGCTAGAAAGGGCTATAATTTATAGGTGATTTTGTTTATTCAATTAGAACAGTAGTTGAACCAGTTCAGACAGATGAAAAGTATCTTGTTTTGGAGGGAAAAAAATGCATGAAAGATATGTAACTTCAGTAACTCTTTCCAGTGTTTAAGAAATCTTGCTGTCATACAAACTTTCCTTATGATACAGTTTTTCTTACCGGTTTATCTTTCATTATAAAAGCAATACAACCATATCATAAAACATTTGGGAATTTTGAAGGCAAGAAAAAATTCACTCTAACGTCAAGTGTAATCTTAATTTATTTACAATTTATTATCTTGATTTTCCCCTGTAAATTACATCCTACAGCCACATAGTCTTGGGAAGCAACATGGTGCAGCATAAAGTTGCTAGGTTTTGTCGGTGCATAGGCGTGGGGTTCAATCTCAGCACTGTCATTTGCAAGCAGAATGAACTTAGCCAAGTCATTTAACCTCCCTGAGTCTTTTTTGTCATCTGTAGAAGAAAGATGACAAGAATGGCCACCCTAGAGCTGTTAGGAATTATGCTTTGTGGTGCCTGGCGTGGAGTAAGCACTTGGTGCTGTTAACTGCTGCCATGCCAACAGCCAGGGCTGGCATGTAGCCAGCATGTGCTGGCACTGCTGTACGTGTTGTTCAAAAGAAGTGAGAGCCTTCTGTGCCAGTTGGTAATAAGTGATTGCCTGCCCCCAGATGCCTGCATGGCTTCTACAAATGCACACACACCCCCACCCCTGGCAGCATGCAGGCATTACTAACACCCGGCGTTATGACCTATACCCTTTCTGATTGGTCAGTACTCATACCACAATATTTTTCATATCCCCTCTGCTAGTAACCTTCATCATTTTTGTTAGATTGACAGAATTTGCTTAATCAGTACTCTCTTAGACACTTAGATTGTAGCTGATTTTTTCACTTTTACTAATGCTGCTGTGATAAATATCACACATATATCTGTCATGGAGGATGCTAATTTTCGGCTCATTTTTTACTAGCAAATGAAAACCTCCTCTCTGATTGATCACTACGTATTTTGAAGGCTCTTTACTAAACTCCTCCTTCTCCAGGTTGAATTATCTTCTATACCTATTGCCTCGATTACTTTTTTGTTTGCCTTCTGAACTCACTCTTTATTCTCTACATTGTTCTTTAGTCAAATGACTGGAAATGGACCTGACAGGTCCCCGAGTCATACTTAAGGGCAGTGAAATATGTTTTCACGGCTTTTTCCCCCATCTTTTGCTTTTCGGTATTATGCTTACTTTAAGACAACCAAAAGCAAACCAGAAACAGTATCACTATGTTACCATTTAAATACCTACCACAGTCTGATTCCGACCTTTTTCATCCTGTGTTTGTTTGGTCTTGTGAGAAGCCCCTAACATACACTTAACTAGAGAGCAGTCCTATTTGTTTCTGGTATAGTATCATGTTACTACAGTTCTTTCTCTTCATGTTGCACGGCAGGGGTTTTTTTCTTTTTACCAAGGTCATTTTGAATATTAATTATTTCCACCGTGCTGTGAAGTGAAAACTCTTCCAGAGTTTAGGTGGAAACTGTAAATATGCCTTGTTACCTCTCCATCTGGGCTGGCCTAGTCTGAAATGACTCATGTTGTTGAACCCCCAGCCAAGAGGCACATGTTGCTTTAGAAATGGGAAAGGGAGGGAGCAGTTTGATCAAAATGAGTCCTGAATATGCTGAGGTCATCCAACTGAGAAATAAAATAAAAGCCTCTTGAATCCACTCTGAAGACTCTGCTGTTTTTCACAGCTTTAATGATTATTATTTATTGGATTAACTTTCTCTGCTAAATCTTATGAGGTCAAAGGTTTACTTGGGATTCAATAAAAGGCAGCTGATCACGTGCCCCTCTCTGAGAGTGCGGCATGGAGCCCCACCGGAATAGAAGGAAGCTGTCGCTGTTCCCTGTGCTGAGTTATGGGGAGTATACTTTAGGTTGTGAAAAAGAATCGTTGAAAGATTTGGGAGATAATAAAGTCCTTAGGCATTAATGATTAGGTAAAATTGAATAATATATTAATATCTCCCATTTAAAGACATCATGTTGGAATAGTATAAATTTTTATTCTCTGTTAAGGAGAATTCACATAATAGATTGTAAAGTGTATTTACCTCTCACTTGCAAATATGAAGTTAAAAAGGAAATAAACTAGCTATAGTTTAGATGATGATTTGATTTTTGGCAACTAAACGATGTTTTGCACCTTTTTGTTTTATGGCCTCTTGAGTCTAACTTTCCATTGTAAGATCAACATAGTGAAGCACACGTGAGCATTATTCTGCACCAGAATTCTGTACCGGATTACCACAAAACTGCTGGGCTGTTTGATTTGTGATTTTTATTTCTTATTGAGAGTTGTTCAAATTTGGGAAATTAATAAGGGAATCTCTAAGAAATTTCATGTTAAAATTTATTCCATAGTCAGTGTAAGTTTTTCAGGATGTTACTTGAGGTTAAATAAAAGAGTAACTTAAAGGTGTACAAGAGATGTTAAAGCAAATACAGTGACCAGCTTCTCCAAGGCGTCTTGTGTGACAGCCTTTTTAATGACATGCTTGGTTCAGTTTGCACTGCAGTAGGTTACTAACAGTGATTGCATATTTTAGTTACAAGGTTAGCATAAATTCCATTTATAAAATGTATTTCTCTGCTTTTTTTTTTCTTAAAGAAAAAGTCTATTAAAATGTATGATGGTGGCATTTTACTACAACTTCACTTGTACAAACTTGGGGCATATAAAAATCATGTAACTAGGTGGTTTTAATCACTTAGGAAATATTCCCATGAAAATACCTATTCTTAGAGTTGTCTTGTCAATCAAAGCAAGATAAGGAGCCCAGATACGAACTCATCTTCCTTCTGATAAAAAATTCTGTGATTTTATTTGCGTCATCTTACCGTCTTTATTTTCCCACTTGTATTTTAAAAATTTCCACAGAAAGCATGCATCCTTTCCCAGTAAGGATTGAACACAATAAAATATTAAAATAAAAACACAGAGAGCCAGCCTTGATGGCCTAGTGGTTAAAGGTCAGTGCTCTCCACTTCAGCCACCCGGGTTTGGTTCCCAGGCTCAGAACCACACCACTTGTGTGTGGGTAGCCATCCTGTGGCAGTGGCTCACACAGGAGAACTAGAAAGACTTACAGTTAGAATATACAACTATGTATTGGAGCTTTGGGGAGGGGGAAAAAAAATGAAAAAGAGAGGAAGATTGGCAACAGATGTTAGCTCAGGGCAACTCTTTCCCCTCAAAAAAAAAAACAAAACACGTAAGGTAGCATTAGACAGTTGGGGTGAAAAAAGAGACTGAATTATTGGGAGTTTAGTTTAATGTAAATTCAAATTCTGCCAATTTTACCTGGTAATGATTTCATGTCTGTGGTTCTTTTGGCACGTTTTAATAAGCTACATTCTCCCTATGGATCTTTTAACTAGAAATCTCAACCCAGTCAATCCTCATTATTCACAATAGTTATGTTCTACAAAGTCTCCATGGGTACAGAGTGAATACAGAACCCTTGCTCCTCGGGGAAATACGGAGTTAGGTTTCTGCAAACCTCTGGTCACAACATTCATTTTCATCAATTGTGCAATACGTAACCTTGTTTTATGTGTGTTTCTGTTTAGAGATACCTTATTTAATATGTATATTGTTGATTCATTAACATTGAGCTCACAACCAACTCATGCCCGAAAGAAGCTTATCTAACTCAAGTATTCTCTCCACAAAGCACATCCAAGCCTTCTTGTGCCCAGGAACTCTAAACAGCACCTCAGCACTATCCTTGGGGGCTATTTGAAGTAGCGAAAGCACCAACAAAAAGCACAAAAATGTAAAATGCATGGTACTAAATAGACCATGAAGAAGATTCTTATTTACAGTATAAGAGCTGAAGTGAGAAGGCAGAGCGTCCTCTTGTTGGACCTCAGCTGGGGAACGTGTGCACTGGGTGACTCAGATTTTTCACCACCCTGTGCATGTCTGCAAATGACTCCAAAGGTGCCCGAATATTGATTTGGGGTTACAAATAAATTTTACTGAGAAGGCAAATTACTCATGAATAATGAGGATCGACTGTATAAGCTTTCTCAATTAGAGAAAACTACAAAATTATAATTATTTTTTTAAGAATTTGTTGTCATCCTTGTTGCTTTTATGTTGCTATTTATAGTGACTTAATCATGGCAAAAATGAACTAAAGGAATAGAGAAATGATTAGGCCCAAAAGCAACTCAAACAAGGATATCTGAGCTTGTTTAATTGTTGAGAGAAGTAAAGTGTAAGATTCTCTGAGATAGTGTAGGACGCTTTACTCTTACTTCTCATGAATGTCTGCAGCTCAAATGCCTGATGTCACAAGTCCGTATATGTTGTTAATGAAAAGTGCTCAAAAACAAGGCTGTAATTCTTGGTTATTGACATTTGGGTTGAGTGTCAACGTCTGAGTCTTCTGGAAGAAACACTTTGAGTGCGTCATCTTAGCTAGGAGTTTTGGTACTCTCTCTTGCCAGAAGTCCATGTGATGATTACTTCTTTTTTTTTTTTTTTTTTTGTAAGATTGGCCCTGAGCTAACATCTGTTGCCAGTGTTTTTTTTTCCTTCTTTTCCCAAAAGTCCCCCAGTACGTAGTTGTATATTCTAGTTGTGAGTGCCTCTGGTTGTGCTGTGTGGGATACCACCTCAGCATGGCTTGATGAGCGGTGCCATGTCCATGCCCGGGATCTGAACTGGCGAAAGCCTGGGCCGCCAAAGCAGAGCGTGTGAACTCAACCACTTGGCCACAGGGCCAGCCCCTACTTCTTTTTTTTTTTCGTTTATTTTAATAATGTCTAGATTTTTCTAGTTCTTTGGGGGTATTAGGCTTTGTTCCAAAAATATTTGTATTCTAGTACTATTTTCTTGAGTTATAAACACGTGCGTATTCTTATACATGTTTACACCACACGTACATGCAAAAGTGATCATTTACTTTTGGGAACCAGAAAGAGCAGATATTAGGATTCATGTGTAGAATTGTTATTAAAAAAGACTTGTATCTAAAGCAGATGGTTTCACAGGGTTTTGTTAACTGGCGTGACTGCTATTCATAACTGTTAATTATCATATGGAATTTGAAAAGTAGACATTTTTCAAGGTGTTTCATTGATTTCCTCTCCATGGGATATGTTGTATGCTGATATATATGCTGATAGAAAATAAAGTTACTTTTAAATGAAGTGTTATGTTAAAGTATATCCTGGATCCAACATGGCCTTGACAGACCCCTACTTAAGTCCCAGCAGGTTGATACTAGTCCTTTGTGTTCCAGTTGTATAACTGGCTAAAGTACCAGAGTGTTGTAGCAGATGATTTTTTGTTTTGCTGTTTCTTTCTTTTTCTGAAGAGCAGGGACGTGTTTGTTGTGCCTAGTTCTTAAAAAGCAAGAAGGCTTGCCAACAGGGCTGTGGAGGTTCCAGGGGGATATCATGAAGGAGGGGAGGTTTGTAAGCTGGTGGTAATCAAGCTGCTGCAAACCCCTGTGGAAGGTTGTCTGAGCGGTTGGTGATGTGTTGCAGTGTGGAGCTAGGAGTTGTTTACGCACCTCTCTTGGTCTGCTGTCGGGAAGATAAGAGCTCTTCTTGTACTCCACAGCCAAAAGAGGGTAGTATAGGAATCTGTTGGGTAGTGCCTAATCCCTGTTTTATTTATCTAGGAATTTTCTCTGTGTGTGTGCTAAGAGATGGTAAGGTGATTGAGAAAAGCTAAAGCCACGTGTAGTTTGCTTTAGCATACTGTCGGGGACCTGTGCAGACACCCCAAGATGCTTCCCTCCAGTCTCTCTCAGCTTCCTCTTAGCTCATCTCTGCTGCCAGGCCACAAGCCCTGGCAAGAGGGAGGAAGACTGCAGGTTGTAAGAGAAAAACTCCTCAGAAATAATTAAAAATTGTCTCTAATTTGGGGCTGAGAGTTAAGAGAACTGGATTATAGTTTGAATTTTGCCCTTAATTAACTGGTTGACTTTTGATAAATTGCCTCCCTTGTACCTTCTCATCTGTGAAATGAGAGAATTGGACAAGATGTTCTCTGCAGTCCCTTGCGTCTCTCATGTTCTATGGATCCGTGATTCTTTATCTGTTGAGGCTGCTGCCAAAATTTGTACCATCTTTTAAGTCATATATTCTACCAGCGAAGACCACTGCTCATTGCATTGATCACTGGGCAACTAATTTGCAATACACAGTGGTCTTCACTGATGAACATTCAAATTTAATGAATGTTAAGATTTAGCATTCTGTATCATGTTTTAAGAGAACTGTACATGGTATTAAACCTGTCAGAGTTAGACAGCTACTGATTTTTTTGCTTTTATTTTTCTAAATCTAAACGTGGATTCAAATACGTCTCAAAGATAGTGTTGGAATGAACTTTCGGGAAAAGCTTTGAGAACCCAAGACCTGAGATTAAGTTTGTTTTTCCTGGTTTGTTTTGTGTGCTGCGTGCGTTGGAGACTTGTGCCTACGGGTGACAACCTCTGGGGAGGCAGGGGCGGTGGGGGAGGGAACTTCAGGACTCTTGCTACTGAACTTACAGTTTTATCACTGGTACGGTGCATTAATAGATTAGTTAGGAGGCCTTTGGCTACATTTAGCAGAGATCCCAAGTCAAGCTAGCTTAAATAATAAGGGAATTAATGGCTCATAACTAAATACAGAGGAAGGACGGGCTTCAGTGTTGGTTCAGTCCAGTGTCGTGGGCTCTGCCTCTCTGAAATTCCAGAATTACCTCAGCAGTGCTCTCCACTTATATTGGCTTCATCTTCAAGTTGTACTCTCATTGCGTCAAAATGCCTAAAGCGATTTTTTTTTCGAGGAAGATTAACGCTGAGCTAACATCTGCCAATCCTCCTCTTTTTTGCTGAGGAAGACTGGCCCTGAGCTAACATCCGTGCCCATCTTCCTCTACTTTATATGTGGGACACCTGCCACAGCATGGCGTGCCGCGTGGTGCCATGTCCGCACCCGGGATACGAACTGGAGAACCCCACGCCACCAAAGCGGAACATGCACACTTAATTGCTGCGCCACCCGGCCGGCCCCCCATAGCAATTTTTTGCTTTGCGTTCACATACTACAACATTGGGGTTCTCAACCTTGGCATTATTGTCGTTTGGGGCCAGATAATTCTTGGTTGTTGTGAACTGTCCTGTGCATTGTAGGATGTTTAGCAGCATCCATGGCCTCTACCCACTAGATACCAGTAGCACCTCAGCTCTGAATTGTGATGATCAAAAATGTCTCCAGACATTACCAAGTGTTTGCGGCAAGGAGGTGGGATGGTGCGGAGTGGGGGACAAACATGCCCTGGTTGAGACCACTGGTCTAAAGGAAGACAGACTATTTCGTCAGGTGGCTGTCTTAAGTGTGAGGAAACGTATTTCCTAAAAGACCCTAGATTTCCCCCTTTTGCCTTATTGGCTCAACCTGCATCACTCCCTGATTCCTGACCCCATCGCCGGGTGAGGGGGTAGAACTTCCTTGAGACTAATCAGGCCCACCGCTGGAGCGAGGGATGGAAGCAGCTCCCCATAGGCAGGTGACTGTTCGGGCAGAGTGAGTGCCTCCACAGAGTCCCTGGAAAGGGGGACGGGAAGCAGTCGGACCCCAGCAATGTCCATGACCAGTGCATTCTAAATTTGTCTTGTTTTTCTTCCTCTCAGTGAGGACTATGGAAAGAACTTTAAGGATATTACAAATCTCATCAATAACACCTTCATTCGGACTGAATTTGGCATGGCCATTGGTCCTGAGAACTCTGGAAAGGTGAGACTTATTCATGCATTTAGAGAGCTAAGCTTGATACCACATGCAGAGCTGTCAGATATTAGTATTAGAATGGTCCAGTGATACACAGCAATATCTTTAGTTTACTGTTACTTTGTTTTAAAATTAAACGTAATTTAGTACTGATTGCAAAAGAATGGAATTCAGCACTCAGGTTCTTTTTTGATCCCTGTCCAAGATGCACCAAAACGCTTCATAATTACATGGCAGCTGTTTAGCATTACAATGTATACTCCTTAAGACAACATTTTAGTCTTTTGGGAAACTGGCTAATCTCAAACTGACCAGGCTCAAATTCATAGGTATGATGCACTAGCCCAATTCAGGATAGTATTTTTCAATAAGACTAATGCTTGAGATTGGAGTACACCAACTAATCTATTGTCATAATTCCTTTTATTTTTGGAACGAAAATTTTCTTAACTAATGTCTGGTGAAAATGTACAAGAAATTCCTGTGCTTTTATAGTATTTACCCTGAATCTGAGCTTTCCTCTTCCTAATCAGGTGATTTTAACAGCAGAGGTGTCTGGAGGAAGCCATGGAGGAAGAATCTTCAGATCCTCAGATTTTGCAAAGAACTTTGTTCAGACCAATCTCCCTTTCCACCCCCTCACCCAGATGATGTACAGCCCTCAGAACTCGGATCATCTTCTCGCCCTCAGCACTGACGTAAGTCTAGTGGAGGAGCTTGTCTTGCCTTTTGCATTGTTATAGTCTCAAAATATACTGTCTGAAAAGGACCCTATAGGCTTTAGTATTGGACTGCTGTCTAGTGACTTCTTACAACATAAAGTATGTATTTTTTGCACTTTTTTCCTATTTGGTAAAGTGCACAATTTTCATGGACTATCTATTCCAGAAGAGTATAATGTCTAGTTGTTAATACAGTTTTTTTAATAATAGATTAGAAAACAGTTTACTGTAGTCATCCTTGTGCTGCAAGGGATAGCACAGATTGTCAGGCTCCTCATGTTGTGATTGTTCCTTTCCTATGGCCAAACCACGTCTTTCTAATTGTTTCTTTTTTCTTAGTTCCTCAGTATATAAAGCATCTTGATTTCTGTCTTTGACACTCATGTATTGAATAGCCAGAGTCTTCAATCCTGGCGCCCCCTACCACATTCCTATATTTTCCCCGGAAACCAGTGTCCCTCCCAAGCCTTGCAACTGACATCTGAAAGTTCCCTGAGGAGCATGTTCGGCCTTCCTTTCCTGCAGAACCAGTCTCCTTTATCATGGATGTTAAGGGCCAAAATGGCTGAGTTGCTAGACTGTGATAATTATAATTATACTTTGTGTTTATATGGCTCTCTCTCATCTTATTTGTTAGAGTGTGGTCTACTGACCAGCAACATCAGATAGAAACCCCTGGGAGGCTGATTTAAGATGCAATTCCCGATTCAGATATAATAAGGGAATGATTTTTGGTTGTGAGGTGGCTGGTATTTTTAACAAGCTCCCCAGCTAAGCCCACTGCACAGTATAATTTGAGAGCTGTTCTGGTGACAGAAACAGGATCATCAAATGTGAACAAGTCAGGCTGGGCAAAGAGAGGATGAAGGGCACTGGAAGAGAAGTCTGGGTCCTGGGCCTTCTGTGGGCAGATCTTTGAGCAGAGATAAGGCAGGAGGGATCAAGGAGGTCGGAGTTCAGCTTAGCCAAAAGAGGCTACAGGAAGGAGACTAGCCTGCTGGGTAAGCTTCAGATCTTAGAACAATAATTCCTGGAAGTTGACCTCCAGCAGCTTGAGCTGAAGGCCCTTCAAGGGAGCAAAGAGACCCCACAGGAATGGAGAAAACCATGGATTCTTTGACCACCTCATCTTCATTACTAAGTATCTTAAACAGACTATCCTCAGGAAGAGCTAGGCACAAAGTGCTTCTATGCTTGAAATTTCTTCCAATTAAGGGTAAGTTTGAAGTCCAAATACTCCAAGTGGAGAAGATGGACCAATTTGCACTAGTGTCAAAGTGGTGACATTAGACTCTTTCCTGTCTTTCTAAGTGGAATTAGGCGAGTTAGAAATGCTGGGAAGTGAACATTACCAGAGGAGGAAAAGTTAAAGAAAGGAGATGGTGGGTGAGAGTGGGAGCACTGAAGGTGAATTCTGCCTGGATCAGCCCCATTTAATTTCCCCTGTACCAGGACATCTCTGTCACGCTGCCACTGAATCTGAGCCCAGAAGGCTTGTGTTGCCAATGTAACTGACATTGTCAGTCTTTATCTTATTAAGTCTCATCTGTTTTTGAAAGTATTGACCAATCTCTTCTTTTAAAAACTCTGCTTGCTTGGCTTCTGTCACATTCCCTGTGATTCTTTCCTACCTTCTAACCATTCCTTCTTGGTCTCTTTCTTAAACTCCTTCCAACCTACCCTTAAATCCCTGCAGCTTACTTCCCTCTGAGCAATCTCTTCCACTCCACTCTTACCGTTTTAACTACCGCTTATGATGTGTGAGATTCTCAGATCCTTCCCTCTGGCCCCGGCTTCCTCCTAGGGCTTCATATTCCTCTTTTGCTGCCCCCTGGATGTCTCTAGCTAGATGTCCCACAAACTCGTTCTGAGACTGACTTCTTCCTTTCTCTTCCTCAGACATGCTCTTCTTTTCTTAATCCTTATACTAGCTGAGGATTCCACAGTGCATCTTATCCCTTAACCAGAATCCTGGAATGATCAACTTCGACACACACACACACACACACACTCCATCCGGCCTTACAGGATGAGTCATCCAGTCCTGCTGAGTCCAGCGTCTGAATTCCTCCTGAGTCTCTTCCCCGCAGCCGTGGTTTAGGGCCTCAGTCAGTCTTAATGAACTAATGTGTTGATTAGTCACTCCTCTTCCTGCTTCTAGTTTGGGCCCTCTGAAATTCATCTTTCCATTGTCATCCAAGTATTCCACCTGAAAAAGTAGAACTGACCAATCATTTCCCTGCTTAGAGCACCTTCCTTCTTGGAGTACCTCATATAAGATAAAGACCAGATTCCTCAGCACGGCGTAGAAGGAGGGCTCTCATGAGCTGGTCCTCACCTTTCTCCTTACCATTTGCTACCCCTCTCTTCACCTTTGAATGCTCCATCGACCTCTAAAGGCTTTTAGCTCCCTGCACCCACTGCAGTGATCTGTCACCTCTCTGCCTTAGTCTATCTTTGTGCAATAACATCTCAGCCCCCCCATTTGCCTTCTTTTGGTTACACTGCTCATCATTTAAGACTCAGTTCAGCTGTCTTCCTCACAAGCCATCTCTGATGCAGTGTCCCTCCCCTCCCTACTCTTACCCTAGAGACCCTGTTTCCATAACACTCACCACATGGTATCAAACTTTCTTCTTTTCTGTACCACTTGTTACACTGTGAGCTTAAGCAGAGTGTGTCTCATTTGTCCTCTTATCCCTAGTGCAACGTTTGGTACAGTGCCTGGCACATAGTAGGCACTTTATAAGCATTTGTTATTCTGAACTTCCAAGACCCCAAAGGGGCCCCCATAACTGTGTGTGTGTCTGTAGAGCTCAGGCAGCTTGAATGGAACTTGAGTGTGTGTTTTTACTGTTCTGAATGGTTAGATATGAATTATTAAAGGTCATACAAGCAGCTGCACAGGATAAAGCTGGAATTCTGATAAGTCATTTATAATCTTTCAGAATGGCCTGTGGGTGTCCAAGAATTTTGGGGGAAAATGGGAAGAAATCCACAAAGCAGTGTGTTTGGCCAAATGGTGAGTAACAGAAGACTCCATCTGTGCAGAGCCCTCCACCTTTCCTGACAGTGCTGCCAGAAGTCACATGAATAAATATTGAGCACTTGCTCTGGGCCAAGTACTCTTCAGGGTACCATAAAGGATACGAGAGAGGGGTATGACACAGACCTTGACCTGGGAAAGAAGACTTAGTCTCACTGAATGTTAGAATGTAAAGTATAAAACAAGGCACATGACTGAGTAGCTGCTGTCTGCAAAAGGTCTATTCTCCATAAATGGTCAGAATAATTGGAACAGCATGAAATACAGCTTTGATCTGGGGACTTACGTACTTCCCTTTGCCCAGATTTACACTCCTTCATATAGACGTCCATTTAAGTGTTGTGGAATGTAGTGAGGAATCAGGAAGAAAGCCCAAAGAGCTCACACTGTCTGTGCGCCAAACTCATTCACTGCTCTCGGTGGGACCCCCGCCAGGTACCTGCTTACAGATGACGTAGTGGAGGCGGCTCTTACTTAGGAGTCAAGTCATCTTGGTTCTGACCTGGCTTTGCTGCTCGTCAGTGGCTTAACCTCTCTCTGCTTCAGTTTTTTCCTTCTGTGAAAGGAGATTTGTCTGGGGAATTTGTGGGATGGTTAAGCAAGAATTGAATTAAGAGCCTTTATACCTCCAGAATTCTGATTCGGTTCAGACCCTTGTTTAGAGCCTCTTTCTTCTTTCTCGTTGACTAATTTCAGCCAGTTTGTTAATCTAGTTTCCCAGTTTGTAGTAGATTGCTGCCAGAGGTGGGGTATGTGAGTGCTAACAACAAGCAGATGCCAGCATGAGAGCCCGCTGCCCGAGGGCTGCGTGCAGGCAGGAGAACTACAAGAACAGGTGAAAAGTGAGAGAACTTGGGAGGATGAAGTGGTCTGGCGCTAGATAGAGGGAGCACACATGCCTCAGCAACTTCTGAGGGGCGTGCCGGGTTATGGGTCCACACAGTTCATGTTCACGATGATGACCTCTAATCCCAAGGAAGAGATTAATATTCAAAGTCCTCTACTTAGGGAGTCAGGGAAACGTGTAATGTAGACAGTGCCGAACATGTCAACCAAGATTAGCTAAAATATAAAGAAATGTTGCTTAAATAAAGTGGGGCTTTTCCAGACAATGCTGGTTAAATGAGGTTTTCACAGCACCACTGTGTACACATGCCACATCTGCTGTCATTTTATGTATTTTAGTGAATTGTGTTTGTACCTTATATGGTCCCTTCAGGAAGGAAGGAATTTTTAAAGTAAGTTAACAAGTTATTTCACTCCTGATGGACCTAAACTATGTAAGCTGTGTTCAAATAAGACTGCAGTAATTTTGATTATTAAAATTCATCTTTACGCACATGTATCAGGTCACCACGATGTACATTTCAAATACCGTACAATTTTGTCAATTTTCCTTCACTAGAGTAAAAAGAAACAAACAAAAAACCCATCTTTAAAGCTAAAAAATTATTTTAAAATAGTATTTTATCTTGTGTCCTATACAAGTTGTTTTACCTTTTGTAACTCATTTCTTTGTTTAGTGTCTAAATATAAGATAAATGTGTGACTGATAACTGTTTACTCACCTTTTAGATCTTTGATTTCTAGGAATTTACAACGTAAAGTTCTGAAAGAACCTGTTCAGACGCAGCACCTTTGCTGGTGCTAGTGTCTAAGTGCTCTCAGGTCTGAATCTAGTTCCCTGCAAACTCCCTTTCCAAGTTACAAGTTAAATAATTCAACCTCTGACCTAGTTGTCTATTCAAATAAAAGAACTAAATTATTTAGCTTCTGCACAGCCCTGAACTAGGTTCTGAGGGGAAATGTGAAACTTAGTACCTGCCCTGAAGGAGCCAGTCGTGTAGTAGGAGGGATAAGGCATACATTGTGCAGTCAGAATAACTAAACAGGAGATGGGGGAGTGCCAGCTGGCTGAGGCCGGGTGGCACACTGCTCCAGAACAGGCTTTCTCAACCTCGGTCGGCACCAAGGACATTTGGATCAGATAATTCTTTGTTGTGGAGCTGCCCTGTGCATTGTAGTGTGTTTAGCAGCATCCCTGGCCTCCATCCACTAGATGCTAGTAACACATGTGCCTTGGGGAGCAGAATCACCCCTAGTTGAGAACCACTGCTCTACAAGTTTGCAGCAGAGAAGCTTTCCAGTTGGGGTGACAGGGAAGCTTCAGGGAAGAGCCAGATTTTAAGCTGGAGCCTGAAGATTGGGAGGGTAAGATTTGCTTACATAAGGGAAAAGCATTTTAAGAAGGAAACAGTATGAGCAAAAGCAAGAGGCAGATTTGGAGAGTGTAAGGAGATCAGTTTGACCGGCCAGAAGCATTCGCATAAAGCAGTCGTGGACTGTGGAAAATGCCTGGGGCCAGGCCGGGGGCTGCCTTGCCTGGCGAGGCTGTGAGAGAGGCAGAGGCATAGCATCCGAGAAGGCTGTTTCAGCCAGTGCCTGTGGAGGCTTGTCAGACTTGCTGGGGGCTTCGTCACTACGCTTGGCACAATCCATTAGCAGTCTTGAACCACATCTTCTCCCTGTCTTTGCCTCATTGTAGGGGATCAGAGAACACCATCTTCTTTACCACCCATGTGAACGGCTCCTGCAGTAAGTATGTCTTAGTCCCAGAAAAGAGTGTCCTGCTGTCCACTCATAGTAGAATATTCTGGCTTCTAAGAGGTAGAAACATCAAACATCCTTCCATTCTCCAGTAATGTCAGTAGCTAAAGATAGTGGTTAATGATTTTTCATATCTTGAAAGTACAACCAAATTATTATACTGTGCCTAGAACAAATAAAAATGCTGGCTGTACGTGGAGACAGTATACTTAATTTTAGCAATGTATTTACATAAAATAAATATTAGGCTACAAGCAGTAACAAATTGAAATGAATAGTGATTTCTGCAAAAGTGCGTGGACTGTGTTTGTGTTGGTGGAAGCCATTGACTTCCCAGTCAGTGACAGTCTCGAAGCAGAGAGCAAAATCTTTCGTTTATTCATTCAGCAAATGCATTTCATTTATTCGTTCATTCACTTGAGCACCGGCTATAGTATGCAAAACCCTGTTCTGAGGGTGGAGAGAACAAGACACCCAAGTGTCTTCAGTTCAAGTAGGGATGTTGGGTGATCAACAAGAAAACCAAAACTCAAACAAGACAGCTTAAAATAGAATAAGATAATTTCAACGATGTCCTAAAGAAAGTAAAGCAGGATGCTTGTGGCTTTGATATTTTTATGCAACGCTGTATTGGAATTAAGTAAATTCTATCTTTCTTTCTTTTTTTTTTTGAAATATGAAGTTGTTTTATTAAAAATGGACTTGTGAGTTAAGTCATTCAGTAATAATTCTTGAGATTGTTAGTACATTTTGTTGTAGTATACCTTACATTTTGCTTTTTTTTATTGAGTTCATAATAGTTAAAATCAATGTGAGATTTCAGTTGTACATTATTTCTTGACTGTCACCAATAAGTGCTCCCCTTCACTCCCTGTGCCCCGCCACCCCACTCCCCTGGTAAACACTGAACTGTTTTCTTTGTCCAGGTACTTGTTTATGTTTCACATATGTAAACTCTTTCTGTCCAGTGTAAAACCTCACATGGATAAAATAAAACCTAGATGTGAATTTCCTATGTCTAATGCCATATCACATTTATACTGTCACTTGATTGATGTGCATAGGATTAAAAATCCTAATTTAGCTATAAAATTAAGAACAATTCTAAAACAGTTGTTCTGAACTAGAGGCTCTCTGGTCAGGGAAATTTTAATTAATGTTTTGTCTTGTTTAAGAAGCTGACCTTGGGGCCCTGGAATTATGGAGAACTTCAGACTTTGGGAAAAGCTTCAAAACCATTGGTGTGAAAATCTACTCGTTTGGTCTTGGGGGACGTTTCCTTTTTGCCTCTGTGATGGCTGATAAGGTGAGTGTTTACCTCTTTTCTTTGGGTTGTGATATTTCTGTAAATATGCCTCAAATAGATCCCTTTTACTACTTGTACTGGCAGAGTTTCCTGCCTTTTTGCGAGATTTAGTGTCACTGTAAGATTTGAGGATGCCTCTTTTATAGAGGTTGGTTGACTCCTCTGCCCTTTGGCCTGTTGTCACCACATGAATTCTGGTATCTGTTTTGGGATATGTAGACCCAGTGTTTGGGCTTTACTCAGATGTGGATAGCTGAAGAAAACAATCCACTTGCTCATTATCCAGTAATAGTAATAATAGTGATAGATAACGTTAATTGAGTACCTAGTTATACTAGGTACAACTATTCTTGGTCCCAGGAATATAGCAGTGAACAAAACAGATGAATGTCCTGCTCTCAGAGCTTATATTGAAGTAGGGAGATAGATCCTAAACTAAGACATATGATGTAACATTAGGTAGCGATTAAAGCTATGAAGAAATATAAAGCAGAGTAAGGAAATGGAAAGTGACGGGAATTGGAGCAGAGCTGTTTTAGATGTGGTGGTTTGGCTAGGCTCTCTGGGACCTGACTTAAGGGAGAGCATAGCTGTCTGGACATCTCGGCTGAGGAAGTGGTAGTGCAGAGACCCTCAGACTGGAGCGTGCTTGAAATATTGAAAAAAAGTGAGAAGGGCAGCATGGCTGGAGCACAGAGAAGCACTGAAGACAGGGAGCAAGTGGCCAGGTCACACAGCGCCTTTGTAGCTCATGATTAAGTCTTTGGCTTTTGTTCTTGGTGTGTTGGGAAGCTGTGAAAGGGTTGTGACAGGGGAATGACATAATTTGGCTTCTCTTTTGACAGAATAGTTGTGTGCAGAATAGCCTGACGGGGTAGGAGTGGAAGCAGCAAGAGCAGCTGGGAGGCTGTTGGAGTAGTGAGAGAGATGGTGGGTTGGACGAGGCTGTTAGCAGTGGATGAGGGGAGAAGTGGTAAGATTGTGGGTAGATTTTTGAACATATTGCCAACAGGAATGGCTGATGGATTAGATGTGGGTTGTGAGAGAATGAGAGGAACCAAGGATAGCTTTAGAGTCTTTGGCCTGAGCAACTGGGCGAATGGAGGTGCCGTTTACTAAGATGGCAAAGGCACCAGGAGAAGCAGGTTCGTGGAAGGAAAATCAAGAATTCAGTTTTGGGTATGAGGTGCCTATTAGACAGATATCTAAGTGGAAATGTCAAGTAAGCATTTGGGTGTATGAATCTCCCAAAATTACTTGGTCTTTAAAGCCATGTGACTAGATGATATCTTCTGGAAGAATGAGTAGGTAGAGAAGAGGTGGGAGGACTGAGGACGCTCTGAAGCACCCCAATGCCTAAAGGTTTGGAAGAGGTGGAGAACCCAGCAAAGAAGACTGAGAAGGAGAGACCAGTAAGGTAGGGGGAGTAGGACAGTGTGTTGTCACGAAAGCCAAGTGAAAAAACTGTTGCAAGAAGGAGGAAGTAATCAGCTATTTTAAACTCAGTTGATCTCAGTTGAGTTGGCTGAGTTCTGAGAATTATCCAAGGAGTTAGTGACCTTGACAAAAGCAGTTTCTTTGGAGTACTGCGGCTAAAGATTGATTAGAGTGAGTTCAGAGAGAATTGGAGATGGGGAAGTAGACACAGTAACTATAGATAACTCCCTCAGCAATTTTGTAATAATCCTCCCAACAACCCTATGAGCTAATACTGTTATCTCAGTTTTTATTTGAGGAAATTGAGTAACTTGCCAAGGGTCATGCACGGGTGGAACCCTGGCGGGAGTCAGGCTGTCTGATCCAGAGGTAGCCTCTGTTTTGTCGCCTCCTACACTATGCTGCTACCATCTACAAAATTTAAATTCTAGTGTGTACTTTTGAACTCCAGTTTCTGCCTATAACAGAGTAAGATTGGAAGGAAACATCTAGATATGAGTTAGAAAAATAAGTTAAATGTACTTGTCACTGAACTTTAAAGAGTATTTAATGTAAGGAGGCTCTGAGACTAATTCTTATGCCCTGGCTAAATGTGTCTAGTAGCTGTTTTAAACTATTTATCAGAGAGTAGGTGTTAATTGCCTGCTTAAAAGACTCCTTTTAACAGCTAAATACTCCCTGATCGCCTTCCTTATATTAATTTCTGACTCTCCTTGGCCTCTTCCCAGCCTCTGCAGGTTCCCTTCCTTATGGCTGTTCTGAGAGACTTCCTTAAAGAGGAGGCGGGTCCCATCCTGACTTCCCCTGTAATCTCTCAAGCCAGATATCATCTCCATTTTCTAGACCCTTAATTATCTGATTCTTTGGATTATCCCAGGACTATCTCAAAGGGACCAAACTTTTATGCAGCAGTCATCATTTTAAGAATTATCTGAGCAAGCATATGCAAATGGTTATAAAGCCAAACTAATGATGGTCCCATCAAACCCTTAGCTCTCTTGAAGGAAATTGAAATGCCAGAGGTTGGGAGGATGATATCTTATAGGGCCATACCAGAATGAAGAAACCAAAGAGGAAGTCAAGATAGCCTTCCTTAAAATAGAAGGGATTGTTCCATTGCCTGGAACTTTGCTAGAGGTTAGAAATTGCTTTGGTAATTGGTATTGGGACTTTTCATTTAGCACAGTTGTACCCAGTGAGGAAAGGGATAATGATACTTATAATTATTAATAATAATGTTCCTATTCATGTCCCTGCACATGGCATCTTGACAGAAAATTAAAAAGGTAAATATTGGCATTTGTTCCAGGATACAACAAGAAGGATTCATGTGTCAACAGATCAAGGGGACACATGGAGCATGGCCCAGCTCCCCTCTGTGGGGCAGGAACAATTCTATTCTATTCTAGCAGCCAATGATGACATGGTGTTCATGCATGTAGATGAGCCTGGAGGTAAGAGCTTTTTAGTGGCCCACCCTTGAGATTTAAGCATAGAGATTTAAGCATGGAGATGCAAGCTTCAAGCCCTACTTTGAGTAGCTTTGCTTCTTAAATGTCAATTTTTCCTCTTATCCTAGGAATTTATTAGTGTCCCACTGCGTACTCTGTCTTAGCAATAATATGGAGCCTCTGTTTAAAAGGCACTTGTTTTGACATTCTAATATGGTTTATGTGTATGTTCAAGTGTTCTAGAGCAATGCTGCTCAAAAAATGGTCTGAAGACTGGTACTGATTTGCAAGCTATTTGTTACCAAATGAATACAGAAAGCAAGAGCAGATGTTTAGAAACTCTTATAGACATTTGGCAAAGTAATTTTATCTGTATTAAATCTAATTGAAAAGTTGAAGATTATATTTTGTCTTTTGTATTTTATTTTTCTAGTGATTAATTTTTATTGTATTTTACAAAAGCATTGGTTTGTGACATAATGGAAATATAAACATTGATTTTTCACCACAGATAGTTTGAGAAGCATTGTTCTGGAGTATAAAGGTTTAGAGATGCGTATGATATGAATCTAAATACAGTGTCTCTGCCACCAAAATGTGTCAGGGAAGAGCTTTTCTGTAGCTTCAGATTAATTCATTTAACAAACTCAGCATCTGCCATATTCCAAACACTAAGCTGGGTATTAGAATTAAAGATGGACACGAAGAGCTTGAGTATCAAACCTCAGGTCTGCGTCTACATCACGAAGAGAGACAGTTGGCTAATGTGTGCCATCAGTCAGTCATGTGCATGGTTAGACTGTTGTTTTCTCTCTGTTCCCCCCCAAAACTTAGTGTTTTTGTTTGTTTGCCTATTTCAGATACCGGATTTGGCACAATCTTTACCTCAGACGATCGAGGCATTGTATATTCCAAGTCCTTGGACCGACATCTCTACACCACCACGGGTGGTGAGACGGACTTTACCAATGTGACCTCCCTCCGCGGGGTCTATATAACAAGTGTGCTCTCTGAAGGTGAGTCTTGGCACAGCTGTTCTTCAGCTGAACATACTGGGAGTTGAGGCCTTTGGGGAGACTGATGGTCCTGCCCACTCAGTAATGCTGCTTGCCTGGCCAACAGGCCAACCCATGTGAATTCTGGCTCTCTATTTTAAATAAGTTACGGCAAATAAAACTAAGAAAGAACAAAGCAACAGCAGGTAGAAAGAAAGATTTTTTGGGTGCTGTGTTGTTTAGTTTATAGAAGAAGTCTTCTCTATTGGGAGGTTCAGGCCTACAGGAAGGAGCTGGGTTTGAACCCCTTCCTCTTTCCTCCTTGTGGAGAGGGTTCCTCTTGTGTTCCTCTCAGTGGTTCTGCAGAGCTCACCTTTGCTAAGGCCCAGTTACACAGATAAACGCGTCACTCTGAAGTACAAAGACTCTTAAGGTTTTGTTTATGTATTTATTTTTTGGTAGGAGCTGGGGAACGTGTGTTTTTATTTTGTAGAGACCTTGCAGTCTACGAGGTCCTAAGTGCTCTTGGCCCCCTCTTTCCTCCCTAACCTCGCCTCCAACGCTTCTCTCCTCCGCTCTCGTCACTCAGCCCTCTGCCAGCCCATAAACGCGCCAGGTGCACACACTCATGGTTTGGAGATTTGCACTGACTGTTCTCTCTGTTTCCCCAGATATCTGCCAGGCTGACACCTTCCTCCTTTCCATCTTTGCTCATATGTTGCTTTCTGAATGAGTCCTGCCCTGACTGCCATATTTTAAATTTCAGTCTGCCCTCCCCAGCTCACACACACACACTCAGTTTCCCTGTAACCATGCAAGTTTTTTCCACAGCACTTATTTTCTAACCTACTGTATAATTTACCTATTTACAATGTCTGGCGTTTGTCTGTCTCACCCTGGTAGAATGTGTACTTCACAAAGTTTTTTTCTGTTTTGTTCACTCATATATTTCCAGAAGCTTACAACAGTTTTCACATAGTGGGCATGCAGTAAATATTTATTAAATAAACGAATTTTCCATCATTTGCTTTCTAGATTTTCCTTGGAAAATTCAAAGTGTGTTATTTCTGAATTTAAACCTGCGACAGTTTGTATCGTTGAAAACAGAGAATGGGGAAGAGACATGAGAAGAAAAAGAAAATATATAAGAGGGATAGGATCTGGAGTAGTGGAAGGACAAAAATTAGGAGTTATTAATTGACTAATGCAGAGACATTCAAATCTTGAGATTCCCTGAAACAAGCCCGGTACCATGGCCTTGTCTCAGTGAGGATTAGGAGGCCTTCCCAGGGTAGACTTTGCTTCCAAGGCCAGGAAGCAGGGGAAGAGAATGGACGTCAGCCTGTCTGTGTTGGCAAGGAGATAAAAGGTGTGTTTTTCCAAAAGTGTCAGATGATTTCTGGAATCAGTTGGGTCCTGTTCAGGTGGGAGGCCTTCCTCCAATATCATATTTGGAGTGCTGCTCAGTTACTCACCCCACGAAGCCGTTTTGTTGGATGTTAGAAGCTTGTGGGACTCCAGGGTTCTAATGGTGTTAAGTAGGCTCAGTTAGGAGAGGGTTATGCAATGATAAACTGAATTTAATAGGGTGCTTCCAATGTATCAGGCTGAATATCACTCTTGTCCCATTCAGATAATTCTGTCCAGACTATGATCACTTTTGACCAAGGAGGAAGGTGGAAGCACCTGAGGAAGCCTGAAAACAGTGAATGTGATGCTACAGCCAAAAACAAGAAGGAGGTTGGTTTTACGCCAGTTGTCATATGTATTTGGAGCAAAGCAGCCATTCTGTTCTCTTGTCAGTGCCAGGCCTTTGAATAAAGAACTTTTGTACTTGATTAGGGTCCACAGCTAAAGGTGGAAAGTTTGGAAACGAGAGTAATGAAATTAACTTAGAATGTAGGAAATAGAAACTGCTAAAAAAGACCAAAATACTGTGAATTATTTGTCTTTTAAAGAAAAACAAAACTGAAGGCTAACAATGTGTGTTTTATCAAACTGCTGAATGAAAGCAGAATGGATAGAGGGGCCGGTGGTGAGTTGGGAGTCAGCCTGGCAGCTTTGAGACTTTAGGAATTCTGCAAAAAGCCATCGTCCAGCTGTTCTTGAGCCATGCAGAGCTGTGCTGGCTAGAATCAAGAGGAGGGGAACTCGGCCTTCTCTTCCCCCCTGCCTGTGCTCCACACGGCCGGTGGGTGTGGGTGGTGACCCGGCGGTGCCCATGCAAGCGTGAGCCAACCCCTCTGAAGAGAGACTGAGAGCTGGAAACACAGGTGCTGCTCCAGGAGACCCCAGCTTCCAGGAGTGACAGGTGTTGACAGGCAAGAAAAAAAGAAAAGCAAAACAAGCTTTGTGTCTGACACTTATAGAATTTGAGAGGGGCTTAGGGGAACACTGGGAGTTTTCTTCAAAAACTGATAGTGCTGGTAGTTCCCTTGCTCTCCTCAGGATCTGCACTCTGCTGTTTTAGGCTGGGCTTTTTGTTCTAAGAACCTCAGACAGTGTGAGATCAAGTGCACCTACGCCACCCCCAATGTGCTGTCTCCCTCCTCTCGGCTCATAAGTGCTGTTGAGTCTCTCTCCCTCCTGCCCCCTCCCCCAGCCCTCTGCCCTGGCCTTGCCCTGTCCCTGCCCTCCTCACCTCAAGCCTGGGCAGGTACGGTGGCCTCCTTACTGACTTTGTGCTCACTTTCGCACTCCCCTGTCTGTCCCTCCTCAACACTCTTCCTGCTCCCCCTTTGCCTGTGACTGGCCTGTGCCTCTGACCTGGTGAATGAAGGGCCTCTCCTCCCCTTTCGGGCTCTCTTCTGCCTTTACATTGTTGTTCCCCATTCTATCATGGACACACTGCTTGTCGTAACCCTCGCTGCTCCCTGAGTGCTCTGCCCCTGTGGCCTGCACGTGGTCTTCCTGGGGTGTTCCTGGGGAAGTGGAGCCTGTCTCCCCACGCCTCATTCATTAGGATCAGTGGAAATCCTAGCCATCCTCAGTGCTGTCTTCAGTTAGAGCTAATCTTTCCTCTTTGTTTCACTAATAGTTTGCTTGAACCTCTTTCTTTATTGTAGTAAAATATACATGACATAAAATTAACATTTCAACCTCTTTTAAAGAACTAACTTTCAGTCTGATTTATACCTTAACTAGTTTCTGGGAAATATTTCTTAAAGACAAGACTGAATCTTATTTTGAATCACCACCACCTCTTTTATAGTATCTGAAATATGTCAGGCATTCATCAAGTTTATTTGTGTGGGATCATTCTTTAAATATTGATCAGAGGCTTTGATGTAGTACAGGAATAAAATAAACTGACAGATTACATATGAGAAGGTAATTGCATAATTTGCTTCCAAATATACTAATGCATTTTAGAATCAAGACTATCCCACTGAGCCTATAACTCAACAACAAAAAAACAAATAACCCAAATTAAAAATGGGCAAAGGACTTGAAGACATCTCTCTAAAGAAAATATACAGATGGCCGATAAGCATATAAAAAGATGCTTGACATCACTAATTAGAGAAATGCAGATCAAAACCACAGCAAGAGATCACCTGACACCCGTTAGGAGGGCTACTATAAAAAAAGAAAACCCGAAATAAGAAGTGTTGGTGAGGCTGTGGAGAAATTGGAACCCTTTTGCACTGTTGGTGGGAATGAAAAATGGTGTAGCCTCTGTGGAAAACAGATGGTGGTTCCTCAAAAAAAATTAAACATAGAACTACCGTGTGATCCAGCAATTCCACTTCTGTGTATATAGGCAAAAGAATTGAAAGCGAGGTCTCAAAGAGATAGTTGCACACCACGTTCATAGCAGGAGCATTCACAGTAGCCAAAAGGTGGAAGCAAGCTAAGTGTCCATCGACAGATGAATGCATAGGCAAAGCATGGTATATACATACAATGGAATAATATTCAGCCTTAAAAAGGGAGGAAATTCTGATGCATGCTACAACGTGGAGGAACCTTAAGGACATCATGTGAAGTGAAGTAAGCAAGACACAAAAGGACAAATACTGTGTGGTTCCACTTATATGAGTTACCCAGAGTAGTCTAACTCAGAGACAGAAAGTAGAGTGGTGGTTGCCAGAGTCTAGGGGGAGGGTGGAATGGGGAGCTATTGTTTAATGGGTATAGAGTTTCCGTTTTGCATGATGAAAAAGTTCTGGAGATGGACGGTGGTGATGGTTACACAACAGTGTGAATGTAATTAACACTACAGAACTGTACACTTAAAAATGATTAAGTTGGTAAATTTTGTGGTGTGTTTATTTTCCATAATTTAAAAAAAAGGGTTATCCCACTAAGGTCTGGGTTAAGTTCAAAGCTTTATTAGAAGGCTCTGTGAGATGAGTGAAATATTACACCTTTGGTTTTAATCTAAGCTTTGGTTTCTTTTCACAGTGCAGCCTTCATATTCACGCTTCCTACAGCATCTCCCAGAAACTAAATGTTCCAATGGCCCCCCTCTCAGAGCCTAATGCCATCGGCATAGTCATCGCCCACGGTAAGCACCCTCCACTCCCCTCCACAGGAAGAAGTAGCTTAGCACATGAAAACTCACTTATATCCTTGAACCTATAAGAAAACCACCGTATGTGGCTTTTACCATCCTGTGTAGAATTTCTTACATGATAATGGTACTGTGAGTTTTTCATAGACTCCCATCAGAGAGAGCAACATGCCTTCTCCCTTTCCCAAATTTTCAGTGGCGTTTTTTTTCCTTTTTCAAGAAGCATGATGGGGGTCTGTGCCCGCGGCCGAGTGGTTAAGTTCATGCGCTCTGCTTCGGCGGCCCAGGGTTTTGCCGGTTCAGATCCTGGGCACGGACATGGCTGCTCATCAGGCCATGCTGACGCGGCATCCCACATAGCACAACCAGAAGAACCCACAACTAAAAATACACAGCTGTGTACCAGGGGGCTTTGGGGAAGAAGAAGAAGGAAAAAAGAAGAAGAAGAAGATTGGCAACAGATGTTAGCTCAGGTGCCAATCTTTTAAAAAAATAAAAGCATGATGGGAAATAATCAGAACAAGTTCATTCAAAACTATTCTCCTGGCAGTAAATCCTCTCCGTTTCATTTGTGCTGATTTGTACTGACGAGGTGGTGGATTGTGTTGCAGGGAGCGTGGGGGATGCCATCTCAGTGATGATCCCAGATGTGTACATCTCAGATGATGGGGGTTACTCCTGGGCGAGGATGCTGGAAGGACCCCACTATTACACCATCCTGGATTCCGGAGGCATCATCGTGGCCATTGAGCACAGCAGCCATCCTATCAATGTGATTAAGTATGCATGAGCTCAGCTCCACCCAGTGTCTGCAGAGAGGGCAGCTGGGGGTTGTTCTTCGGTTTGTTGGGGGAAGTTACTGAACCTGATTCATGTTTGTGCATTCTGCAGAACTTTGGGGAAGGTTCTTGAAGGGTTTGCAGTTAGAGAAATTCAGATAAATGGCTTTGCTTTTTCCTCTGACTCCCTCTACCTAACACTTTTTGTCACTTTTTAAAAATATTCTTTCTTTCCACAAGAATGTTATGGAAGCATGTAAGCACCCTGGATGGGAAATGACATACAAGTTCTTATAAAATAATTTCTGTTCTTTTATTTAGATGGTAGGTCACTAGCCTATCTTTCCTTTGAAAGAATTTTTATAAAGGGATTTTCTTCCTTACTCTCTGAATGAATCCCCTTTCCCTACCCTGTTAACATTAAAAATTAATGTTAGTAAGCCATCACCTAAATATATGAGGGTCTTTCTCTGGTTTGGGATCAAACAGCCAGAGTGGTTTCCTGATATTCCTGTAAATGTTGATCCTCTGTCATGATCTTTGTCTAATTTGGTTTCAGGTTTTCCACAGATGAAGGTCAGTGCTGGCAAACCTACATGTTCACCAGGGAGCCCATCTACTTTACTGGCCTAGCTTCAGAGCCTGGCGCCAGGTCCATGAACATCAGCATTTGGGGTTTCACGGAATCTTTCCTGACTCGCCAGTGGGTCTCCTACACCATTGATTTTAAAGATATCCTTGAAAGGAGCTGTGAGTGTCTCCTTTGACCTTTTCTACCAGAAACTTGTAAGCCTATTTTCCTAAATAACCAATTCAGTTTAATTTCGTTTCACTGGAGTAAGAAAATACATTTGAAGGATTGAAGGATGTTCCATGTGGGTAATCAGGCAATGGGATGCTTTCAGAAAAACAGCTTCCCTCTTTGGACTATCTCTGTCCAAGAGAAAGAAAATGAGGGCCACATATGTAATTTAAATTCTTCTATCAGCTACATTATGAAAGAGGTGAACTTAATTTTAATAATTATCTCCATATATACAAAAATTATCATTACAGCATGTAAGCAATATTAAAAAATCATTAATGAAATTTTTTTTTTTTTTCTTCTAAGTCTTCAGAATCCAGCGTCTATTTTACGCTTACCCGTATGGTAAATCTCAGTTCAGACCGTCACAGGTGGCGAAGGCTGTCACGTAGGACAGTATAGCTTTGCACTGTTAGAGCTAAGTTACATCCTATGAGACTTTTTCTGATTGTGAGGATAATGCATGCCTGTGGTAGTCTAAAATTATTTCATAACATTTCAGGGTTTTTCACCCTTGATTACAGCAGAACTGTAAAGAGGAAAGTGTGTTGCAAAGAGCATCTGATTGTGTCACTTACAAAGTGTTGAAGTGAGGAAGTTTTCATGACAAGAGTTTTGGCTTGAATGTCAGTCACAGGTGAGGCTCTGGAAGAGCTGCTGGCAGGCGTGAAGCCCACACTGGCCGTTTCAGCCTTCTGTGGCTCCAGACTAGAAGCCGTGTTAAAGACCCAGAAAATGGCTTCAGAAAAGGAGTTAAAATGTTGGTTGCAAGGTGTTCCTAAAGAATCACAAGCAAACCCAGGCCCGAGTACCGAAGATGTTGACATTGTACTGAAAATATTGAGAAGAAAAGAAAAAACTGGAGAAAAAGTGACCACCCTGTGACCTGTAGTTACTTGTTGGCATAATATGACAAAAAAACCTAAGGTTTTAAGATGCTTTGGCTGAGCTTCAATCGTGACTTCTGTTACACTCTATGATGGACCATTTCCTTAGAATGTTAATTCAGTGACTCCTGGAAGAAGCCAAAGCACTCGGTTTGGACCTTACTTTTTTACAAGATGTTTAAATATGATTTGATACTGGAGAGTCATTATTATCTCAATTCATTGAATAGGCTGTAAAGGATCCAGCTTATGAGTTTTCCCCTCGGCAGGCAGCTCTGCAGTTATCCCTAACGTCTAACGTCATTAAAAAGGTTTAAGCACCTGCTGTTTAACAAGCTCTGTGCTGCTCTCCATATCCTGAAGGATGAAACCCTAATCCACAGTCTTTAGGCCATGAGTCATTTTTCCAGGAGCAGGTGATAGAATATACTAAGCCAGGTTGACTGTCATCACCAGTCTTCATTTGAGAGCCAGTCGACTAGAGTGAAAAGTCTAGAAAGAGAATGTTTTCCCTTCTATTTGAAGCAAACTAACTCATAGTGAAATTGAACCCATGTGTTTGACTGATTGGTATCTTGTCCTAAAGGAAAACATCTGATTTCTTACCTCGGCCAGCTCCTGCTGAGGACACAGGTGTACAAGACACGTAGATGGCAGCCTCTCAGATTGGAAGGAACCCTAGAGGTCCTCTGTCCAGTTTCCCACTTTGAAACAAATAAGGATTTTCCTAGTACTCAGATGAGTGGTGAGATGCAAAGAATCCTCCTTTGGCATGAGGGAATGCCAGTTACCGGTGGGCTCCAACTAGGGTAACTTGTGTTCGCAATTCTAAAATGAGGCAAAAGGTTGAGTCAGACATCCCCGCTTTCCCTCTCCTTGTTCTTCCTATAGCCTGGCAGCTGCCGCATGTGCGTGGGTTCTGTGCTGTGCAGTTTCCTGAACAGCCTGTCTTTCCTTTAGGTGAAGAGAAGGACTATACCATATGGCTGGCTCACTCCACAGACCCTGGAGATTATGGAAATGGCTGCATTCTAGGCTATAAAGAACAGTATCTCCGGCTGCGCAAGTCATCCGTCTGTCAGAACGGTCGGGACTACGTAGTGACCAAGCAGCCCTCCGTCTGTGCCTGCTCCCTGGAGGACTTCCTCTGGTATCAGCATCCCTCACATCCCCATCAGCCCCTCCCCTGCTGGACGAGGGGAAAGACAGTTGTCTTATAGGACTAAAAATATTTAAATCCTTTTCTTCTCCAAGAGTGGAGAACTGCTGCTTCTTATTAACAAAATTGAAGCACAGAGAAAGGGAAGCCAAGTTGTTAATAATTGAGCAGGTAATATTATCGTATCAGACAGTCAGTTTTTGGGCAGAACCAGCAACAGCCCCCAGAAATCCTGACTTGGCGATTGTGGGAAGGAGAGGGGCATATAAGGAGGAAGACGATTGAAAAATAGAGAAAGATGATAGGACAAAAACATCAAGAAAAGGGGTGCAGGAGCTAAGAGGAAATTGGACTTTAGTGAAGAGCCTGACAGCCTGAGTTCAGCAGGTGGTGCACTAGGTTTTGAGTCGTCTGCAAAACTGAAGGCAGAGAGGGTATGGTTCTGTCCTGAGATAGGGAGTGACGTTAGTGTGTTTATGGTCCATCTGTCCCATCAAGGTTTAGAGGCCATCAACGTGGACTCCCTAGAATCCAGGCTTAAGGGTTAGTTGCTGGCTGGCGTGGGATTAGTTGATTATACAAGTGCACAGAGTCCCTTGGTAGCCTAAGCGAGGTAACTGAGGGCAAATAAGAGGAACTGATTCACACCACAGGTAGGATCTTCTGGAACTCGTCACCTACAAAAGGTACTGACAGGAGGAAAAAATGGATCCTAAAGAATTTGGAAAAGAAGGCAGGCAGTCATGTCCTCCCTCGCCATATTCTCTCAAACTGCAGGTGGCAGAGAAGACTACAATGAGTGAACCCCAAGTCTGGCCCAGTGTGGTTCCTCCTGTGTGGCTCATGTCTGTGTGTGGAATGGCCAGGGTTCTCCCTGCTGATTCCACAGGGAAAATTTCCCTCAGATCATTTGGGTGCTACCGGAGGGCTCGGGCTGGTTGATACTGTGAAACTCCACAGGGCTCTCTCCCATCCTTCGCTGCACACAGGCGAGGCTCTTCATTCCCTGAGCTGCTCCTGTTTTCCAGACATGCTGTGCTGCTTCAGAGCTCCATGCCATTGCACGTGCTGCTTCCTCTGCCTAGAACGGCTTTCCACATTCCCTCTTTGACCCCACACCTGGTGACTTCCTACTTGACCTTTAATACTGAGCTCAGATGTCACCTCTTTAAAGCCTTCCCCGGTTTTCCGTCATCTAGGCTCCCACAGTACCCCTATTATAGCATTTCCAGTGTTTTAATTGTTGCCTGTGGGTTTGGTTCCCCCGTTAAACTCTAGACTCCTTGAGGTCATATTCTATTTCGTAATCGTGTAGTAGTAATGACAGCACCTGATGTTTACTCAGCACTTACTCTGTACTAGGCACTGTCCTAAGCAATTTACACTTAACCACAGCAGCCCTGTGAGATAGGTACTGTTGCCATTTCCATTCACAAAGGGAGAAATGAAAGTACAGAGAGGTTGTGACTAATGTGCTCGTGGTCACTCAGCCAGGAAGAGGTAGAGCTGGATGTGGACCTCGTGGTTCAGCTCCAGAGCCTGCACATGGTACCACATGTGCTTGAGAAATGTGTACTTTGTGAGCGGGGAGGGTGCTTCCCCTGAGATTTTGGACTGAATACCTAAAATTTTACCAGAAGTTTCCCCCTGCTATTGGAGGGGTAGTGTCTTCATCTTTTGCTCTTCCTACCCTCTCCCCTAAATATTTGTCAGAAACATATTAAAGTACAAGCAGGATCTATATATTCCCCAAATATTCCTTGAAGACTTGCTGTGCACAGGGCAGTGCAAAGTGGTAGTGGAAGTCTTTATAGATTCTCCTGGTAAGATGCACACAGTTATGTTGTGAAACGAGGTGGTAAGTGGCTGAGGGTTTAGAGAAAGGAGAGACTGTTCCATTGAGCGCTGCAAGGAGGTGGGTCCAGGAAGGCTTTGTTGAGGAGGTGGCACTCAAGCTGAGCCCTGAGAGCTGTAGGACTTGACTGTGCACATCTGGGAAGAAGCAGGTCGTTAAAGCCGGCGGACGAGTGTGAGCATAGACAGCCAACGGCGTGATGGGGAAGGGCGGGCTGGAAGATAGGCCATGAGGGGGAGTCACAGTAGTCACAATAAAGAAGTAAGTGGGGTCCAGGTGGGGGTGCTCAGGCTAAATTTTCAACCTAGATGATGGGAAGGAAATTCACGTCACAGACAAACATAAGGAAATGATAGGAGAGGCTGGCATGAAGGAGAACTGATGGGTTTTGAATGTTATATTTATCTGAGGTTCTGTCAGCAAATTTACGTGGTGATGTTCAGCGGATATTTGGAAATGTAGGATTAAAGTTCAAGAGAGGTGAGACCTGGAAGTTTTAGTTGCAACCACACATAGTTAAGCTTACAAAAGGAGAGCAGATACAAAGTGAGACTGAATTGTAGGACCTTGGAAAACATCTGCATTTATGGGTTAGGAAGAAAGAAGAGCAAGCAGTGACCAGAGAAACAGACGAGTGCAGCCTTGCAGGGCCAAGGTGGGTAGGAGCACGATGGTGTGTCAAAGGTCAAGGTGAATGAGAACAGGGAGGACTCCCCTGGGCTGGGTAACTAGTGAGCCCTCAGGAGCCTCAGACATTCATTTTCAGGGTTGCGTAGGGAGGTGAAGCCAAAATGCACAAAATAAAAAGTAAATGTGTAAAATAGAACAAGTAAAAAACACACTTTTAAGAAATTTGGCCAGTAAGGGAGAGGAGGATGGAGGAGACGGTTAGGTGCAGGCTAAGGAGAAGCCACCAGGTAACTGGGACTGATGGCCCCTCCCATGCTGTCAATGGAGCAAGGTCGCAGGGCGGTAGTCAGAATGGGGCCAAGGATGCTCATGTCAGGGGTCAGCCTTGGAGAGGTGGCAGCATGTTATTTCTTTGGGGAAAACAGAGAAAGGAGAGCAGATGGCTGGCACTGTGGAGAGATGGGATAGAATGGAGGCAGGGACCATCTAAGAAGCTGAGAGGGTCAGAAATGGGGGAGGCAGGAAAGGTTTTACATACACCCCGTGGTACACCTCCATGGGGTACAACATAAGAATGAGTTATTTGGAGGTTAATGGAAGAATTGCTGGGTGTCCCTGAGTTTAGATCTGTTGCCGATGCCACTATTTCTCTGTGTCTTAGTTGCAAGAGTCCTCACTCCATGGCAGGCTGCAGCCATTCCTCTCCCTGAGCCTGAGCTGTCTGTGCAGGGCTCCCAGCCTTGGGGCCCCTAGCTACTAAGGCCACCAGGCTTAATCCATATGCTGTTTTCCCCTAGTTAATCCCTTTCCATGTCTGTTTTCCTAAATGGACCTTCTTTCTAGATAGCACAGGCCTTCCTGAGCTGCTCTCTGGCAACCCAAGACTGGACTAGTAACCACCCACTGCCCCACATGCTTGCTAGTTGCTTACTGTCTTTCAACAACTTTGAAAGGTACTTTATTGGCTGACTCTTGCAGTGATTTTGGCTACTTCCGTCCAGAAAATGACTCCAACTGTGTGGAACAGCCAGAACTGAAGGGCCACGACCTGGAGTTTTGTCTGTATGGAAGAAAAGAGCACCTGACAACCAACGGGTGAGATGGTTTTTCTCCCTTACCCTGACAAAGGAGTTGCCACTGTTCAGAGTGAAAAGCTGCTTGTCTCCACACAGAGATCTGAGCAATATTTCAGAATGCTCTAAAAAAACACTGTCCGATAGAACTTTCTGTGATGATGGAAATGTTCTGTGATCTGTGTCTGATACAGTAGCTGCTAGCCTTGCAGGGCTATTGACACTAGTGCAACTGAGGAACTGAATTAATTTTAATTATTTTAAGTTGAAATAGCCACTATCCCATTTTTGTACCACATTTAACGTTTTTCCCAGGTCACAGGTCTTGCTCGCAGTCTCTTAAGGTGGAAAGCGGGCATGTCTTGCAGCAAGGCCAGAGATGCTTTGTCTGTTCAAGGCCAAAACTACATAAAATATCGCCAAAACATCCCTGTGGATCTTCCCAAGGCCTGAAAGATAATATAAGGACAAGAAGCTTTTCTGCAGCTTTTCAAATCTTATTTTCAGGAAATAGACAGGAATCCGAGAGTACATCCTTGTGTTCTGTTAACAAATTTTCTCTGCCTTTCAGGTACCGGAAAATTCCAGGAGATAAATGCCAAGGTGGAGTGAATCCAGTTCGAGAAGTAAAAGACTTGAAAAAGAAATGCACAAGCAACTTTTTGAGTCCAGAAAAGCAGGTATGGGGGCTGGCCCCATGGCCGAGTGGTTAAGTTCAAGCCTTCTGCTGCAGGCAGCCCAGTGTTTCGTCGGTTCGAATCCTGGGCGCAGACATGGCACTGCTCATCGAGCCATGCTGAGGCGGCATCCCACATGCCACAACTGGAAGGATCCACAACTAAGAATATACAACTATGTACCGGGGGGCTTTGGGAAGAAAAAGGAAAAAATAAAATCTTTAAAAAAAAAAAAAGAAAGAAAAGCAGGTATGTTAAAGTAGATCTGGTTTAGTTACAAGTGGGGTTTCATGTTCTGCCAGGAATAGTCAAAGTTACAGCATCAGGAGTTTTATTGCTGAATACAAAGTGGCCACACTACTTCTGTCGACTTCCCTTTGCACAGGAAACTGTTAGGATGGTCACGTAACCCAGTGATAAGCTCATCTACTGAAAACTTTTTTCTTGGGGAAAAAACGGTATTCCATAAAGTCCTTCCAAGTGTTAGAAGCATAGAGTTGAGGAAATTTCTGAGGCTTGGAGTCATTTAAGAAAAAGACTCAAGAAGTTTGGCTATAAAGGGCTGGAGTTTTGCACGTGTGGAAGAGAGGAGCACTGGGCCATAGGTAGGGTGCGTCTCTGTGCCGTCATGCCAAGTGTATTCAGAATGAAAGACTGAGCTGTGGGGATAATGGGCTGGTTTTTATTTGGAAGTGAGTTATGGGGCTGATTACAGGTGTGGAACTGAACTCTGGCTGGGATTTGGTGAGGAGGAAACCTCTCGACAAAGAAGCCCTGGACTGGCAGTGGGACTGGGGGCAGTAAACAGTGGGCCCCCCCTTCCTAATCTGTAGACTGAGAGGTGGACAGTCTGCAGTTCTCTCCTCTCTAACCTTCTAAGGGGTGAGGGCCTGACAGGGGATGGGATTAAGAAGGCAGTGGGAGGGGCCAGCCTTATGGCCAAGTGGTTAAGTTCACGTGCTCTGCTTCAGCAGCCCAGGGTTTCGCTGGTTCGGATCCTGGGCGTGGACATGGCACCGCTGATCAGGCCACGTTGAGGCAGTGTCCCGCAGAGCACAACCAGAAGGACCCACAACTAAAATATACAACTATGTACCATGGGGGCTTTGGGGAGAAAAAGGGAAAAATAAAAATCTTAAAAAAAAAAAAGGCAGTGGGAGAAGAATGTATGGGTGTGTGTACTTGTCGAGGGACAGGTTCCTCCTTCTTTGCACCCCACCCTGTGCTCCTGGTGGCTGTCCTCGGAGTGTTTGTGTGTGTAACTGCACAGGACTCCCACTCACGGGGACACAACTTGTCCCAGAACCCAGCTCCGCCATCCCTTGGATACACTGAAAACACACACTCCCCATCTCCCACCCTGAGGTAGGTAGGTCACACTCAGAGGGTGATATGAAAAAGCTTATTTATAAAAACATGCCAAAAATTAAGTTAAAAGAATAAATCTTGGTGTCATATGATGGCCTGCCTGATACAGCATTGGCACAGCTTCTTCCCAGGTAATGGCCCTGTTCTTGATTCGTTCAGCCCACTATTAGCATAGTCTCCCTTTCCTGCTCCAGAGCTTATAACAGTGGTAGTGGGGACAGTCACAATGACCGTTTGATCTGGGGAGTTGCCAAGACTTCCAGTGTACCTTTGACATCGAAGCCCCTGAGATTGCAGCATTCTGATGGCTTCAGGGCAGTTAATGTTCTGGTTAGCCTCTGCCAGCTGTGGTATTCTCCTGGTCACATCGAGATGGTTTATCTTAAGGGGTTAGAAAAGTATCATCAAGTCCCTGGCAACTGCACAGCATTCACAGAGAAATGAGGGGAATGAGCAACCTCTTTGAATTCAGTCTTGGAATATGCATGCCCACAATTTTTTGTTTTTGTTTTAATTTATCAAGAATTCCAAGTCAAATTCTGTTCCAATTATCCTGGCCACTGTGGGATTGATGCTGGTCACAGTCGTAGCAGGAGTGCTCATTGTGAAGAAATACGTCTGTGGGGGAAGGTAAGGACATGGAGGCCAGTCAAAGGTACTGAATTTAACCCAGAAAGTCAGCTGAGGGCATGTGGTTGAGTCTGCCCTTGGCAAAAACTAGCTCGTTGAAGCGATGTTCCTGAAACATCAGGCCCAGATCTTCTCAGGTCTTATGTTTTCCATATGCCAGCTGTGGGCTGTGCTTCCTATATGCGTGACTCACTCTGTGAGCATATAAAACTCGGAAAATCCTCAGTCCTGTAAGAAATGCACCCCTGCTCACACTCGAGGGCTAACGGAGGTGTCCATCCCCAGGTTCCTGGTGCATCGATACTCAGTGCTACAGCAGCACGCAGAGGCCAACGGTGTGGATGGAGTGGATGCTTTGGATACAGCCCCCCACACTAATAAAAGTGGTTATCATGATGACTCAGATGAGGTGAGACTGTCTCTTCTTGAGGGGTGGCCCAGAAGTACAAAAAAAGAGTGATTCTTTTCCTATTCACGATCAAGATACGATTCAGGCAAAGGAGGGTATAAACGGGAAGCAGCAATTTAATGACTGTAAGACGTGGCCAGCCCAGAAACTAGGTAACTGCTTTCAAAATAGGAACTTTTTAGTCTCTAAATAACACGGGCTCTGTCTTCTTTTCAGGACCTCCTGGAGTAGCTCCTCTGCGGAGCTGGGACTGAGCATGGATGACGGAACCGCAGTACCTCCTACACTCCCTGTGGCTCCAACTTGGGGAAATAAATTTCCCATTGCGAGGGACCCATCTCTGTTTCTGCTGCTTCCATCAAAGCCAAAAGGACCTATACTAAAGAAGCACAGGGGGGCAGGGAGCCCTAAACACTCTAACAGTTGGCTCTGAGAAGAGGGGAAAATTTAAATTCTTTAACTTTTTATTTCGAGTGCAGTTCTTTTGCAAAGTATGGGCTCTTTTGGTTTTGTTTTTTAAGGGAAATGAAATGGAAATTGAAGGGAACATTTCACTAACCCCACTCTTGCATGTTTTGCATGGCGCCTGCCCCAGGGCACCTGCCGACTCCAGCATCAACTCTCACAACATACTTGGTGCTGTCCCTGGCCTCTGCTGGTGACACGGAGCAGCTGCAGAGATGAATACAGAGGCTGCGATGACTGGCACAGCCTGGGCAGCCTTCCTTCTGGGGACAGCCCTGCTCCAAGGACATTGCACACCAGCTCCTCACAGATCCTCACTTTTTGTTTTTTTTCCTAGGGACTATAGACCACAGTGATTTTTGTTGTCCCCTGTTTAATTAGGCAATACCCTTGTTAATTGCCCTTTGGCAACTAACTTCATCATGTGCTTCCAAGACACTAAATCAGGAAAACTTAAAGAGCAATATTTTTAACTTGGGGCAGGAAGAAGGGAGCAGCAGAGAATTGACTAGATTTACCACCTATTAAAGGAGAAATTCTTGCCTCTTGCAAGATCTTTCAAGCCATGCTTTGTGTGTGTGCCAGTGGACTTGCTTGAGGACCAGGTTCAGGCCTGCCCTGGATGTCTGCCCAGGCTGAGTGACCTCTTCTCTCTAGCTGGTGGTGGTGGGCACGATGCAGCCCCTGAGGACTGAACATCCCAGGCTTCCATGTCTCCTCCTACTTGTTGGGTTGGCTTGTTGGTGAATCATTAGAAGGGCTGCTCGTTTGCATCCTCTTAGGTTACTGTTGTATGTGGAGCCAGGACTAGACATGTTTTCAAATTTATAGGCTTTTCTAAAAAAAAAAAAAATCAGGATTTTATTACCAGGCTCTCCCTTTTACCACTTTTTCCCAGTTTTACTAAGTAATTTGTTGGCATGAAACTTTTGGCTGAACCATCTGAAGACACACTTCCAGTATAGATGATTTGTTTACATTTGATACATCAAGTTCATAGTTTAAATTTAAGGAAGTTTTCCATTTGACATTTTTTCGAATTAAATAAAGTATAGAATGTAGTGAGGTGGATTTTTGGGTGGCCATATAATAATGGAAAGCTGCAGTGATTAGTTTTAACACAGCTTGAATATGCACTAGATGGGAATACTGTAGAGTACGTTTGAGTCTTAGCCCGCCTGCTGTGCTGGTCACAGTTCTCCCAACGATTGTGATTGGGACGTCCTTTGGTGACTGCCATTTTGCTGCTAGTTCATTTTATGGCTAGAAAGTCAGTGAAAAGTAAATGTGCCAAATTAACTTTTGTCAGAATGTGTGAGCAGATGGCTGCGTTCCCTCCTCCCCCAAGAGGATGAGCAGCAGAGGGGACGGCGGGGAGGAACGGGAGAATTTTAGAGACTTTGAAACTGCCGTAAAATTAGATGAGTCAGGAGCTTCCGTTAGAAAATAACGTTAGGGTGGTTTTTGTGAAGAGAATTAATGTTTGTTAGAGCCAGAGAACACTAGTCTTTTAGGAAAAGCTCATTCATGATTTTTAAATTAAAAAACATTCTAAAGGTAAACCACCTCAGAAATGATAAAGTGTCAGCCTTTGTCCCAGACACCCTCCCCTCCTGCCCATTGTTAGTTTGATGCCCAGAAAAGACCTGCTTACGCCCCACACCTGATTGTCCCAGCGTGTCCCCGCTGGAGTAGACGTGCCAATAGACGGTGATTCTCTGAATAGTTTTAAGATGTAAGAAAGCTAATATTTTTCTGTAACCATATAAGATTGGGGCTCTTTGCTTATAATGATACTGGGATTTCTGTAGGACTTGGCAGTTTCCACGGCGTTTTCACCTGCATTATGTCATTTGAACCTCCCAACACTCTTATAAGATTAAAAAAGAAAAGAGGCAGAGATTTTAATCCCCTTTTTTTAGGAGATGGAACTGAGGTACAAAACTTGCGTAAAATGTCCCAGGTCCCTGTGTGTGACGAGCAGTGCTGGTTGGCTGCCTTCAGAATGCAAACGTCCCATGCGTGCGAGTGCTGAAAAGCTGGAACGGGGTTGTTTCTTGTAGATGATATGCTGTCCTTTACAACAGGAATCAGTGGCATTTCTTTCAGAGCAGAATTTAGCACCGTTGTGCCACCTGGGTGAACAGAAAATTTTGTTCTCCTGTTTTTCATGGCTGAAAACAAAAGTAATGGTAATTTTGAATATGTGTTTAGAACCTGCCCCTCACCTGGTTGAGGGTCATTGTTCGAGAGTGCAGGGGTGGAGTCCCCGTGGACGAGTCACCCTTCCCCATTCCCCTTGTTGTCCCATCGCTGGCTGGCCGGCCAGCTCAGTTGTTTGGAGCACTGCTAACAAGCCTGGCTCATTCCCTTTGTTGGCTCGGTAGCTTTCTGTGTCAGCCTGCTCACTCGCAATTCTGTGCCCTCACCCAGAGAGTAAAACAGCCTAAATCCACGATAGCTTCTAAGGAAAAAGGGTTTCTAATTTGTCCTACCAATAATAGGTTAGGAGCATTATCTTTGAAAGTAACGCATAGCATATCATTGTGTAAACTCCCAACCTTGATAGGAATAGAAGAGATTAGTTCTGGAGGTTTCAGCAGTAGACCTCAGTGTTGTAACATAGGTTGGACACATCAGACCATCTACAGTGGTCTGAGCTCATACGTCCAGGTGGGGAACTCACCATCCTTCCTGCTCTGTGGACAGGTGTCTTAGACCTAAGAGGGCGTTTGGTTTTCAGTGAGACCAGAGAACAGAGATGCATACACCTCGGCTGGTGATTGAATGGGAATGCCGCTTAGAAGAACACAAGTGTTTGGAGGGTTGTGGCCATTCTAGTCTGGGATCAGGAGACTCCATTTATTAGCTATAACTGAAACTTAGAGTTTGCCATCTCCCTCCGAACAGGCTTCCTAGTGTATATCTCTTCACTCGTAGATTTACCTCTGGGCCTCAACATGCCCAACCTGGCTTTCGTCCCTGACAGATTGGTAGTGCCTGGCCACCTCTGGCACCTGTGCTGGCTCTATAAACTATAGCTGGTTCTCCCTCCGGTGGCCTTCGTCACGATACCAGGATACAGAGAGGAGTGCAGGGCTGTCTGTCCACACTCACCCCAGGTGGCAGGGCTGTCCTGGCTTCAGTCATTTCTCTATTTTCCAGGCAAACCATCCAGGTGGAGAGACTCTCTCTCCCGTTTTAGGAGAGCTCTAAAGACTCGTGTCCCTGTATGCAGAGCTCGTCCTGCTCGTTATCAGTACAGCCCCCTCGCCCCATGTGAAGCCTGGACACTGAGAACTGCTAAAATGGGAAGAGCTTCTGCTTTTCACCTTTGCCACTACCTTCTCTTGAGCAGGAAAATAAATATGGACTTGAGTGTCCTTTGAATAAAACCAAAGTTTGAGATTTGCCGCAAGATGGAGTGATAGGGAGGACAGACTTTCAGCCCTGGCACTCAGCAGGTGCCAGACTTTCTCTTCCATCTGCCATTGGTTTGCCCAGCTCGGGCAGCTTTCACAGCACCGTCCTGCTTAGCAGAGCCCAGGTCTTGCCCTAGGGAGGATCACTGAAATAGCAGGAACGTGTTGATTTCTTGGTTACATTGCGTTATAACAACAAGAATCAGAACATTAATTTGAAATTGTCTTCAACAACTTCCTACTGTATGCATTTTTCACACCAGTACATTCTCCATTCTTAAGCATCCTTGTTTATATAGAGTAACATAAACTAATCTGTACCTTTATATATATATATATGTGTACATATATACATGTATAAACTGTATAGTGTACATGTTAATGATTTATTGATCTGTCCCAAATGTTTAATGCAGTTCTCTTCCTCCGCATGCCCTCAGTTGGTAATCGGGTGACTAGAATGTTCCCTAATGATTCTGCCCACCTCTTGTGTTTGGACGTCTAGGGAGGAGGGTTTGGTTGTACCCTCCTTATCCTCGTGCACAGAAATGCTCAGGGTCCCCATGTGCCTCTTGTTCAAACCTCTCTTGTCTCTTGTTCCCTTTCTGAGCATGTGGTCCCTCCCTGTTCTATACCTTCTCTGCCTCCCCTCCCCAAGCTGTGGGACAGCTGCCTTCCTACTAAAGTGTAAAGCAGTATTAAGATCATTACTGCATGTGCGCTAAGAAAACAAGTTTTATGTTCCTTTGGGACAGAAAATTGCATGTGAGGTGGGATAATCAAGATTCAGTGACCCATGTCAATTACACAACAAAGCCAGACCCCGAAATAGAATTCCACAAAATGGAAATAAAACTCAAATTTCTTTAGCATTGTGTAAATAAATCTGGATGTGTTTAACTTTGTACTGGTAATTTTCTGTATATTTGCAATATTTGAGTTAGAAATAAAACAGACTGGACTTTGTTACCTGACCTGCTGAAATGACTAAGCTACAGTTTGTTAATATGATAGCTTTCCCAGTTTTCTAGCTTCAAAAATAAAACTCTAGAAACCGGAGAATAAGCCAATTAAAGACCCAGGGCTGTGCCTTCATAGCATGAAAGGTATTAGATAATTTATGGGGAAAACAACTCACTTTTTTCTAGTTTCTTTGCCATAAAGATCTACCTCCCATGGGTATTTGTAAGGCCAGCTTTCTTGTTCTTACCCCTAGAAAGTCCAGGTGACCCACCCCACACACCCTCCCAGGTTTCAGTTGCTACACTCGTCCTTCTAGACACACAGCATACCATCACTTCTGAATTATATGTTCCATGTAGCACGTTTGACACACGACAACACTGAGTTTAACTTTGGTGTCTTTCCATCTGCCCCTCTTATATTTCTCTTGCTGCTCTTACAGTCTTTCTGATCCATTTCATTTAAGGGCCTTCAAAGAGTTACAGCCGTCCTCTCTTCCAAACTATTTCTTTTAGGAAAGGTTCCTGCCTGCCTCCCTTGAGCCTTTACCCGAGACTTGAAGGCTGGCTTCTCGGCCTGCCATCCTGGGGTGATATTTCCGTTGAATACTTGGCTCTGGCATCATGATCTGAAGATGAGAAGGCAAAGACTTGCTCTCGAGGAGCCCACTGTTGACCCATTAAATTAGACTTTCTAGTGGACAGACCTTAGGAGTCTGCATTTTTAATGTGATTCTTTCACACCTCAGTTGCACCCAAGGGCTAACACTGAAAGCTTGGCCAATCCTCTCCCCAAGGCATGGGTAAAGACGGGTGTAAAAAGGGATGTTTGGAGTCCCCTGGTTTGGGGACTGTCCATACTTAACAAGGGCCTTGACTGGGTCAGGCAAGAGAAATAGGTCAGAAAGGCCTTCGCCCTAGTCCTATGTGGCCAAGTGCAGCCTTTTACCAACCAGCCCCAGAGGTCAAGCTCCACGCTCACCCTCTTCAGTCGTCCCAGTTCCTGATAAACAAGTTCCTGGGCCTGAAGTGTGTCTACAGGTTTTCCTGGCCCTCAGCCCCTATACAAGTTACAAAGAGGAGTTCCAGACTTCTGTCCCACACCCTGAGATCCTAACATGGGCTCTCAGGATCTTTTTGACTCTGCTCCCAAATTGAGGGCTAAAGGGGAAACATGAGTGAAGAACCTGTTCATTCAATCACATTCATTTTTTTTTTTAGTAAAAAAATAAAGGTTTGGGGGAGGAGGACATATGGGAATTCTGTGCTTTCCACTCAGGTTTGCTGTGAACATAAAACTGCTCTGAAAAATAAAGTCTATATAAAAATATATGCAGAAAGAATGCTGGCTTCTGGAGATAAGAAAGTGGGAGTGTGGTAGGAAACCAGATCATTTGGATGGAGTGTGCAGCACATGTAGAATGGCCCGGAAATCATATAGGAGCTTTAGTAGGTAACTAGCACCTGCAATGGGCTGGCCACTTTCCTGTGTGTGTATCATTTTATCCTCAGCACAATCATGGCGTTATCATCCCTTGTTTCCTAGACCAGGGGCCTGAGGTTCAGAGTAGGTGGTCTGCCCAGGGTCACCTAGCTAATAAGTTAGCAGTATAGCCAAAAGGCACACTCAAGTCCCGTGACGGTATGCCCCTGGCTCTCCTTCCTCCACCACTGCTCCTCTCACTTTATTTGTCCTTTATCTCAGAGGCAAGGGAGCTTTCAAAGGGGCAAATGCTGGCCTGACCTAAAAATAGCTTCCGTTTATCAAGCACTTAGTCAGCTACACTCTGCTAAGCACTTTACACAGATTACCTCTTTTAAGCCCCACAACAACCCTCTGGTTATTATCATCTCCATTTTACAGATGAGGAAACAGACCTAAGAGCGATTGTGATGTGTGGCAAGTCACACAGCTAGTCGGTGATGAAAGGTGAGCCCGGCTAGCTGGCTCCAGCGTACAGACTCCACCTTCCACGGCAACTAGTGGGGAGGCGGAGGGGGTGGGGACAGACCCTATAAAGGTCCAGTGGACAAGACTTTACAACGCACTGAATGTCGGAGCAGAAAGAGAAAGGGCAGTTAAAGGGGTGCCTGTGAATCAGCTAATCCTGGGGCCCCTTTCTTTGAACCTGAACCCCCTGTTGGATGAGCTGGAGGTCAGAAGCCAAGATGTCACCCAATCCTCCGATAGAAGCCAGAAGTCCCGTTTGGATGGTCTGTGCATGGGGGTGGGGGCCTGCTGTTTGAGGCTTCAGCTCTCCCCTCCCTCCCTAGTGCTGTGTGAGGGGTGTCATCTCTCTCTCCCAAGATAACAAGGCCACCTCTGCCTTCCTCCTGGGGTTATTCTGGGCTGCTGTCTGATCCCTCTCTCTTCCCCTAGCCCCTGCTTCACCCTTCTGCTGGGAGTAGCTGGGTGGAGAAAGGCCAGCCCAGTTACATAACCCTGTGGCTGGGACCCTGGGAAGCCAGGCCAGAGAGCAGGTGCTCAGCACCTCCCTCACCACCAACAGTGGAAATCTTCCGCTGGAGCCCAGCCTCAGGGTGGCCCAGCATGGAGACAGCCACATCTCCGGAGGTGGCCTCGGGATCCTCACTGAAGGTGAAAGAAGCCAGGCCAGCTGATGCTGAACGACCCCAGGCTTCACCTCAACAGGGGGCCGGCAGCCCCGTTCCCCAGCTCCCGTCCACTATAGAAGGTGACTCCAGGGGGTTGGGGAGGGTGGAGAGGCCGGGTGGCGGGAGTTGGGGAGGATGTTCCTACCACCCTGACCACCTCCCTAGGTTTTTGCAGAGCTAAACGGCCTCATGGTACTTAGGGACTGGTACTTAGGACAGAGAAGCATTCACTGGAGCCCCCACCTCCTTCCTTGATGGATTCTTACCTGCTGCTCAAGTGTCTCTGCTGGGTTTTTGTGGCACTTTCCAGTGAGTGGTGTTTGTGGCACTTTACCTTTAAAAAATATTGTGACAGGGACTAGGAAGACTTGCTATATTAATGCCAGTCAGGAAGGGAATGAGGGGTGAGATGGTGGCCGTCTGGGTAGAAGAGGGAAACGAAAAGCTTATAGCAACTGGGAGGCTAAGGGGTGAACAGCCCATGACACTGCCTCTCTGGCGGCAGTGCCACGGGACCAGGACCTACCCCAACACCCCCAGGGCACCCACAGAAGCAGAGCCCTCTGGGAGAAGCATTTGGCTTCTCCTCTGTGAGCCTCTCGGGAAAGAGGCATTTTTGAGCCAGGAGGTGCTGGGTGCCCCTTCCAGGCCCAGGTTTCCTGGCCAGCAGCGCTGCTGCCAACCCCCAGCTGACCCTGGCTGAGGCCTCTGCACTCACAGCTCTGGGGGGTCTCCCGCTGCGGCCAGCTCGACCGACCAGAGGAGGAAGGCAGGAGCGGCGTTCCCTGCTCCTACGTGGTCACGGCAGAAGCAACCACGGGGGCTGCATTAACTGTTTAAGACAGTTACTGCACAAAGTCTCCGCTTTCAGCCCCTTGAAGTCTGAAGAGCAGAGGGCGCGAAGACCACAAATGGGAAACCCATGGAATCACAGGGCGGGGAGAGGGAGAAGGAGAAGACACCACCTAGATTCGGTTCCCAGTACTGCCTCCAGCAGCTCTGTGACCTCGGACAAGCCAGTCAACTGCTCAGTTCCAATGTTCTCTCTGTAAAATGGTGATTAATAGTATCTACCTAGCAGGGTAGTTGAAAGGATTGTTGAGATAATCCAAAGTGCCTTGGAAGAGGCCCAACCAAGATGTGAACAGATAATCAAATGTTTGCAGGTCCTGGGTGAAGACTAAGTGTTCTGCCTGCAGATAGGGCCGTGCAGGGCAAGTTCCCTGCCTCTTACCATCCTGAGGGAGACGCTGGGTTTTCAGAAGCTGTTTGAATGTCAAAGGCAGAGAACCGGGGGAGTTCGTCCCATTGAAAAAGAGGTAAGGGGAGCAGAAGTTGTGAACATATTAAGTTGGGCCAGCTTCTCCCCGAAAAGGCCCAGGGAGCAAGTCACAGGCAGAGGGAGAAGGAGAGCTGACCCCCCGACTCTCCTGGTCTCCATAAAACGCTGGGTTGGGTGCTCATCTCACCCACACTCTGCCCCCTGGCTGCAGAGGGGATGCTGTGGGTAGCCAGGTCCCACAGGTGCAGCCTGAAGAGCCCTGTCCTCGTGTGCAGCAGCTCTGGACCTCAGGGCCACCAGCACCCAGTGGCTCAATCCAGTGGCATCCCAGAGATCACTGGCAGTAAGGATTCCTTGTGACACTTTGCAAAGTGTGTTTGCGTCTGTTATCTGCTTGGAAAAAGAAGACATTAATTCAAATCCTAGCTCTGTCCCGTGACCCTGGGCAAGTCAATCCACCTCTCTGGGCTTCCGTTTTCTCATCTGTAAACTGAGAGGTTGAACTAAATCAAGATTCTTAATCTTTTGATGAATATGGACCCCTAGGAAAATCTGACGAAAGCTGTGGACTCTTGCCCCAGCAAATTTCTCAAAAAAGTTCGGGGAGTTCCCAGAACCCCTGAAGTCCATCCAGAGTCCGTCAGAGTGGCATGGACCTGGACTAGACGGCCCCTACATTCCCTGTGAGCTCCAAGGACTTCTTCTTCCTCTTAACTCCTCCTCTTTCTTATGTGGAGCAAGGGGCCCTGTGGCAAGCATGCGAGAACGTGCGAAATAGAGCAGGCCTCAGAAGCAGAATTAATTGGTGACATCGAAATAAACTGAAACAGGTCAACATTGAGCTTTTAGTCAAAAAAGCCAGCTACTGGGCTAAATGAGCAGAAGGAGGTGGCCGCCACTGGGAAACAATTCTCTGTCTCCCTCAGCACTACATGGAGGCACTGTGTCCTGGAGGCCACACTGGGCAGGGGTGGGAGGAGAGCTTCCACAGCGGCGAGGGGCTGGGGGACAGGCTGCATCGCTGACCTGGAATGACCCTGAGACCCAGAGGGAGGGCCCGTCTGCTGATTCCAGCATAATAACTCCAACTTCCTGTGCATCCTCTTTCAATCCAAACTGTTCCGTGTCTTCCAGGCTCGCGAAGTTGAATTCCATGCCTGGAAGTGACCTTTCTTCCTTCCTCCCACTCTTCTTCTCTCCTTTCATCCCTTCCTCCCTTCCTCTCTTCTCTCTTCCTTCTATAAATGTTTATTTTGTGCCTATTATGTGCCAGGCACTGTTACAGAAATGAACAAAATAGGCAAAAATAATTTCCCTCGTGGAGATTGCTCTCTAGTATAAGGAGAGACAGTAAATAAATATACAGATAAAATAGATAATATATCAGTTGGTGATAATGCTATGCCAAAAAAAAGTGGAGGAAGATAGAAAGTGCTGGAGGTGGGAAGCGTGCTTGCTGTTTTAAAAAGACTATTCAGTGAAGGTCTCATTAATAAGGTGATATTTGAGCAGCAACTTAAAGGAGATGAGAGAACAATGCATGCAGATATTTGGGGGGAATGTTTTTCACGCAGAGAGAACAGTAGGTGCAAAGGCTCTGAGGCAGGAGTGTGCCTTATGAACTGAGGCCGCTGTAGCCGTAGCAGAGTGAGGGAGAGAATGGTAGGCTTGCGGTCAGAGCAGTAGCAGGAGCATTGTGAAGACCGGTTCAACTCAAACAGATGGGCAGCCAGTGCAGGGTTGTGAGTGAGAACTGACATGATCAGGTGTAGGTTTTAAGGGTTTTTTCTGGCTGCTGAGTTAAGAACAGGCTCTAGGCAGGCCTTAGACACTAGCAAGATCATCAGCTGAGAATGAGGACGAGGGAGAAGATATGGAAGTTTGAGAGGAGGAAGGGGTGCAATAGTCACCCAGGAGAACAGGAGATTGAGTGAACTAGGGAAGTCTGGTGGAATTGCCAGGGTCCCTTTGGAGTTAGTGGTCACTGATAGTGGCCATTGACTTAAAGTCAGCATAGTTTTCTATTTTGCCCCAGTCATGTTTGGCTGTGCAGATGCAGACACTGAGTGGATGGAAAGTATTTAACTGGGGTTGGGTATTGCTAGAAGGATGTCATGAAGTGAAAGCGGATTAAGGGATTTGAGTGGGTATGCAAGGGCGTGAGTATAACGATGAAGTGATAACATGAGAGGGTGATGGAGAGTGAAAGGTGGTAGGACAATGGAGCAGAGGTCTCAGAGGTGCTGAAGGATTGCTGGTATTGGAGCATTAGAGGGAGTGAGCTGAGGGGTAGAGACTATTCATTATGGTATGCTAGTTGATGAGACAAATAGGCCTCAGAATTTAAGCCTCAAAAACAATAGATGTTTATTTCCTACTAGCGAAACAACGAAAAATAAGTGTTCCTCCTCGGCAGATAGTTCTCCAAGCAATGGTGCAGGGACCCAGGCCTCTTCCATCTTGTGGCTCTGCCATGCCTTAGGGCCCCGGGATCATCTGCATTTGGCTAGCAGAAGGGGAAATCAAGAACTCGCTTGTTAAAAACCTTGGCTCAGAAGTGATTCTCATTGTGTCCACTCACATTTCACTGGCAAGAACTGGTCTCATAGCCACACAGCAAGGCGGTGAGCCCCTTCTCAGAGGGAACTACACTATGGAAGCGATCATGTCAGTTTCGGTGGGCTATTAGCCATCTCTGTCATACATGTGGTGATGAGAGAGTGGGATGATAGAAATTCAGATTATAGAGGATTTGTAGTTATCGGCCTACAGAATGACCAAAGGCACCAGGGGCTGCCGGGAGGACAGAGCCACCAGAGGAGGGGTGGGCACACAGGAGTCAGAAGGAGAGGTGTTGAAATCAGCAGGAATCGTGCATGGAGCAGTGTTGAGAGAGCGACAGTGAGCTCGGGGCTAAAGCCAGCAGCACGAGGGGAAGACTATCACGGGTCGGGGCAGGGGTTGTGACAATCTCCTCAGAGAAGCGTGGCCTATTTCCATGTCCTTTTATTTTTTCTGACCTCAGTTTCATGGTCTTTAGGGAGGTGACACTCTTTTCCTTCACAAAGTGCTTCTGCAGTTACCACACTCCTTTCCCACCACACTCCTCCAGACAGATTTCTGGTAAGGCCAAGACCACATCCTAGGCATCTGCTAATGTTTCTCTAAGAAATGCTGGTACTTTTTGGATCCCTGGAAATCTCTGGTTGTGTCTCAAAGCCATAGCTGGCCTTGTGCATTCGCCCTCTTTTGGTAACCATTCACTCATGCAGGCATGTGCATACACACACACCCCCTCACATACATGCACACATATTCTCACACACACATACATTTACACACTCACACATACACTCATACACACGCACCCCCCCTCCACTCTTCAATGCATCTGTCTTGTTCCTTCACTCTCCGAGCCATAATTAATAACCTCACTCCACACTACACAGCCCTCAGGGAGTTACTGGAGGAGAGTCTTTAACCGCCTGAAAGGAAACAAGGAGAGGATATGAACAGTTACTTCCTGCGAGCACAGAATAAGAAAATGGCCATGAGCTTCAGCAGAAGAAAATTAAGGTAGAATTAGAAGGCATTTTTTAATCAAGAGGAGTCGAGATCTTTGGACTTTAAGTAATCTCCCTCTCTACTAATTTTTAGAAAGAATTTGACAGCATTCTGTCTGAGAGAAATACAGGGCTGAGAGCAACGCAGCTCAGAAGCCAACGGCTCTCAAAGGACTTTTCAAAATGCCTTTTCCCCAAGACTCTACAAAGGGAGGAAACCGAACTGTGGCTGTCGCCAACCTGGGCTTAGAAACTCTGGGCTCTGCTTCAGGGCTCCAGTCTTTGGTTCACAACCCTCCTGAGGAGGAGAACGACCTTGGGCATCAGGGAAAGCCATGTTTCCCCAAGGTCAGTACAATTAACACCTTACTTGACTGTGGAAGTGTGAAAAGAGATGCCCCAAATGAGCCCACCTATTAACATTCTTCCCAAAGGGTCAGATTGCTCTTATTTGCCGGGTCTGAAAAGGAGGCCTGGGTTGAGCTGGGAAAGAGCTTGCTGCTGCCCAGACACCTGGAGCTGTCAAACACTCTTCTGTCATCTTCTGTCACCTCCCACACTGTCAGCTGCTTTAGCCTCAGACCCATCCTCTGCCCTCCCTCTGGGGCCTCAGAGCCTGCTGAGAGCAGAATCCTCGCCTACTAACCCTCAGAGTCAGAACATTCTAGTAACTTAAGTCTGTCCCCTATCGATTCATTGTCTTGTCAGGGAATCTCACTTATAAGTGAAGAACGGGCACAGAAGCCCTCCAGGGAGGGAGAGACCACCATCCTAGCTTTGGCCTTTCTTCTCTGTCTCTCTGCCCACACTGGGGTCCCGGCTGGATCCCATTCTCCTTCTAATTCACCCATCTTAGCTTATGTTCCACATAAACCTATTTCTTTAATTTTTATCTTCAGTTCAGGTGAAACCATGCTAACAGTTTTCCAAGGTGTTTCTCTGAGAAACAAAAGAAACACTAAGTGGGAACAAATATAAGCATCACAGGCACCTATCTACAGAAGCCCGTTTCCTACCTGAGGTCTAAGCAGAGCAGGGCTCACTTGGCACAGCTTCCAGGTATGACGGCCTGGGCTCCTTTGCTCACTTCAACCTTTTCAACCCTTGAATGTGTCCTTCTGCCTCCCCTTCTTTGCCTCCTCCCTCCAGTGGGGAGATCGCTGTCAGAGCCCCGACTATGGTGCCCAGTCCCAGGTAAGTGGACCGATACGCCACACTCAGAGAATGGTCCTTCAGACATATGTTCCTGGACAGGGAGGCCGGAGTCCTGGCGCCAGCACAACTTCACAACCAGCCCTGAATCTTCGGCAAACCTGTTTTCTCTGTCTGAGCCCTTTCCTTCTCGTCTTCTCCCTGTTCTGGGTGCTCATCAAGGTCCTTCGTAAGTCATACATTCTATAGGCAGAGCAAGGAAGAGCAGAGTCGGCTTCTCTCCAGCCCTCTCCCCAGCAAGTGTGAAGGGTTATTTCCCCACCCAACAGTGGGGAACCAAGCCCAACAAGATGAGGTTTTAACCCTCCTTTTCAATCACAGCCTTTTTTCTCAGAAAACCCTTAAGTCATATCCGCCTGTTCTCAACTCCTTGGTCGCTTGCCAAGATGGCCACAGGAGAGGAACACATCACACAAACACTTCTTCTGTTCTTCACGCCCCGCCCCCTCCCAAACTGCCAAAGTCGAACAGAGGGCAACTGGAGCAGGGTCATTTAGCTGCCTGGGGCCTGTCGCTGCCATGTTCTTGCTGAGGTGGACTGGCCCTGAGCAGGATGGGCGCTCAGAGCACCCGAGGCCTCAGATCACTCAGTTCCTGCTTTGTCAGGGGCAAGGTGTGGTCTAAGACAGCACAACCCAGGTGACAACATAAGCCACACAGCAGAAAAGGAAACCAGATCAAGTGGATAGCGCACGTTGCATACTTGTGGTATAATCATTTACAAAGGCCAAGTGACCTCAAGATCGTAGTGGGGGCCGACTATGAGAGCGAAGTTCCTGGTCTCTAAACAGCGGTCTACAGATTCAGGTGTAGGCAGAACATAGTAGAACCTCCATTTATTTTATTTTAAATTTCACCATTCAAAATTTCGCATTGTGTAATGTACACGTTTAAACAGTTCAATTTATAAGTAACATACGTATGTTGGGGTGAAGGCTCAGGAATGTATTTACGGGGAAATGTATGTTATCAAAATGTTTGGAATCCACTATCAAGCAGTTGTGCTGTTTGCTCAGTTGTGTACTGGGGTGGAGTTTTTCCAACTGCTAGGAATGAATTGTAGTGGGGAGACCGGGCAGCTGGTGGGAACTGAGGTGCTGTCACATTCCACTTAAGACAACAGCAGCAGGGGACTGTCTCTGTCTGAGAAAGGAGGAGACAGGAGCCCCAAGAAGGCCAGAAAACTGTGTTGGTCTCAGCCAGGCCCCAAGAGAACCCAGGTGGAATGTTTGCACTTTCTCAGCCAAGGCAGCCAGAGGCATCCCAGAGAGGAGAGAATTACACATGGTCATTCTCCAAACCTTAACTCAGCACTTTCCTGCGCATCCCTGTCTTCATCCTGGAACCCAATAAACATAATCTAATCACTCTTCTCACTGGAACAAGCCCGGGAGATCAAGGGGAAGTGAGCAGTGGACCTAATCTTTCCCACATTCTGTTTGTACAAAGTGATCCTCCGCAAGCTGGAAGAACGCTATGCAGGCGCCCAAGCAGGGCTGCCATGCGGAGGAAGGAACCCAGAGGCCAGCTCCCTCTGCAATGACGTCAGTGCTGGCCTAATGGGTCCAGGCTGTTGACTCTGCCTGCAGAATGGAAAGCTTTCTCCTCGAGCCTGGCACCAAACTGGAGAGCAGGGCTGACACTTGGAGGTCAGGACTAGCATTGAAAGTGGCCTTGATAAAAGGAGTGTTGTTAAGGACAAATATAGAAAAGGGATGGAAAGACAAATCACACAGATTGGACTGGTCTGTGTACCAACAGAAAAAAAGAAACCTCAATGATGAAAGTCAGTAGTTGAGGTATAAATTAAAAGAAGTAAGCATGAGGCTCGCACTCCAGGGCTCTTTCTGCCAAGAGTTTAACACGCCCTAGAGCATCCTTCAGCCAATTGCTCATCCCTAAGTCCCAGCAAGATGATGCGGGCAATCTTCCCATTCCCTAGGAGAGGACTTGATTTACTGAGAGATGCCTGGATCACCTGCCCACGGAGCACAGCTGGACGCAGGACTCCCCTGAGCTCTACTCTTCCTACCACAGGAGACTCACCACTCCCTGTTCTCTCCCTCCATCACTCAGAGCACCCCAAGATCTGGCTACCTCGGGCCCTGAGGCAGACCTACATCCGCAAGGTTGGAGACACCGTGAACCTACTAATCCCGTTTCAGGTGATCATGCCAGCCCCACGCTGGGTCCACTACTGCGACCAGGCCAGGGTTTTGATTTGGAAACAGATACCAAGAGTCCTGGTAGCAGTGGGGCAGTCGTCCTGGCCTTGAATGGAGGGGGCTGTGTCACTAGGAGTCTGGGGCCAAATGACCCTTCCATCTGCACTCCTGAGGGTGGGTTTGGGTCTGCTCGGGTCAGGCATGCCCCATGTGATGCGGTGAGGCTAAGCCACGCCCTTCAGTCAGCAGAGATCTGTGAGCTCTCACTTTGGAGGGCCCTTGGGAGTTTGGGCAGCTATTATTAGTCCCAGCTGCCCTGGGTGTCCATGACCTAGACTTTCAGAGGGCAAGAGACTTAAAGCCATCCCCCTTTCCCATGATCCTAAGGCTGTCGCTGAAAGACGGAAGTCCCCTGGGAGAGTTCACCAACCTCTAACTCAAGGAATTTGCAGCTGCGAGTCAAGTCACCATGTGGACCTGTGGTGGATCTGACCTCTACCGCAGTAGGGAGGGTTAAGAGGCCTCTTGAGGATACTCACAGCCTTATCCCCATTTCTCAGGGCAAACCCAAACCTCGAGCCACGTGGACATGTGATGGCTGTGCCTTGGACGCCAGTCGTGTGAGTGTGCGGAATGGGGAGCGGGACTCCATCCTCTTCATCCGAGAAGCCCAACGTGCAGACTCCGGTCGCTACCAGCTCAGTGTGCAGCTGGGCGAGCTGGAGGCCACCGCCACCATTGACATCCTGGTGATTGGTATGGTGAGGGGAGTGGGAGATGGGGTGGTCCTCAGAGTCTCCCTCTCCAGGCTGAAGAGGAGCCATCGCAGAGAGCTGGGGAAGCTGAGGTGACTCCTTCACACTGAGTGTGGGACACAGTCTGGGGTGAAGGCAGGGGTAACTAAGCAGAGCAGGGGAAGGGGCACTTCTGAAGTGATTTCCATGCATGTGAGTTGTACATGCCCACTGCCATGCTTGGCCCTTTCAGAGAGGCCAGGCCCTCCTCAGAGTATCAAGTTGGTGGATGTTTGGGGCTCCAACGCTATCCTGGAGTGGACACCTCCCCAAGACACAGGCAATGTGGCACTCCTGGGATACACGGTGCAGAAGGCTGACACAAAATCTGGGGTGAGGCCTGGCTGGGAGGGAGGGAGGGAGGGAGGAATAGCACATTCTGGAATAGGGCTCTGGTAGCTCCATGTGGTGGACTGAGGGGGAGTGAGTTCACAAAACAGGTGTCTCTTTCATGGCATCTTCTTGGGACCCGGAAGCTATGGTTCACAGTACTGGAACGTTATCATCGCACCAGCTGCACTGTCTCCAAGCTCATTGTCGGCAACTCCTATGCATTTCGAGTCTTTGCTGAGAACCAGTGTGGACTCAGTGAGACAGCCCCCATCACTGCCGACCTTGCCCACATCCAGAAAGCAGGTAAGGTACGGAGACCCTGAGCTGGGAAGAGTTAAGGATAAAGGTTGCAGAGGGATGGGGGTCCCAGGCTCTACAGCATTGCCCTTCTTGGTCCCCTCAGCTACTGTTTACAAGACAGAGGGGTTTGCCCAGCGAGATTTCTCTGAAGCCCCAAAGTTCAGCCAGCCTCTGGCAGACTGCACTACAGTCACTGGCTATGACACCCAGCTCTTCTGCTGCGTCCGCGCCTCTCCCAAGGTGAGTGGGGAGTTCTATGGGGTGGCTGTGCTGTGCTGCTTCCTGCTCCCACGCCAACCTTAGCTACACTGAAGAGCATTCTAACCAAAACATTTGTTCACGTCACCGTCATCTGCCTCCTCCACAGTAGGTTATGAAGGAGCCGTCAGGGCACTTGGAGTCCAAGACAGGCTGATGTGGATAATGTTCCCAGCTTTCCTTTTAGTGTTTGTTCATCTGAAGATGTCACTTTCTGACCTGCTGGCAACTGGGGATGAGCTTCAAAGTTGTCTCTCTGGCAGGGGTGGTAGAGTCCTGTTGGATTCTCCTGATTCACCCTCACGCCTCCTCTGATCGGGGCCATGCACATGTGAGCTGCCTAGAGTTGAGCTTTTGGCCACAAACCTGAGCAAGGATTTCTGTCTATTCACAGTCTAGTCACTGTACGCCACACATGGCATAAAATACCACCAACAACCTTTACCAAGTGCCTTCTGTGTATCAGCCCTGGGCCAGACCATCCGGGGATAACATCTCAGAAAGAAAATAACAATAAGCCCACTCTAGAAACTACTTTCTAACCAGAGGGGACAGGAGCGACTCCTAAGGCAACAGCGGGAATAGAACATAAATGATTCAACAGTGTATATACAAAAAAGAGGAGATCCTGACACTAGGTGCTTATGATCCACGGAGGGAGCAGCACAGAACAGAAGTCATCACCTTTCTTCTCGTCAGGAACTCTTGATGAACAAGGCGAGGTTTCAGGTGCTTTCCAACCAAAAGAAGGAGGGTGGGAGGCTGTTGAGGGTCCTGGAAGGGGAATGTCTTCCCAAATGTAAGGGATGAGGAGCTATCCAGAAGGCTGTTATCTTTGCTACATCCCTGTACCACCCGTTCATTAAGCACCCTATTCCCCCGCTCTTCCGGATGGTGTGTCCCTCAGCCTTGTAGGCAAAGAGTCCCAGAGACGGAGCCCCAAAAGAACAACTGCTCTTACAACTCCTGCTGCCCCCTCATCTTTATCTTCCAGCCAAAGATCATCTGGCTGAAGAACAAGATTGACATCCAGGGCAACCCCAAGTACAGAGCCCTCACTCACCTGGGAATCTGCTCCCTAGAAATTCGCAAGCCTGGTCCCTTTGACAGGGGCATCTACACCTGCAAGGCGGTTAACCCCCTGGGGGAGGCGTCTGTGGACTGTCGGGTGGACGTGAAAGGTAAGGGCAGCGCTCGTGCCTTAGGGTGCAAGCATCTCCTCTCTCCCCAGCTGGAAAAGTCGTTGGCAGAGACCCAGCCTCCACGGGGAAGGGCCTGGTTTGCTTCCTCCTTCAGGTCCCCTCATCACTGGCATCATCGGGATGTACTTGAGGAGCTGCTCTGATGGTCCACTATTTCATTTCTCTCCATCAATTCTGTAACACGGGAAGAATCGCTATTTCCATTTTGCAAAGGAGAAACCTGAGGCACAGGGAGGTGACTGGTTTACCCAACATTTCCAGTGTTGGTTGAGGAGCTGGCATTATGGTGGAAAGAGCCCATGTCTCCTGGGCCTCACCCAGATTGTTTTTCTTTAAAATATGCAATCTTCTGAATCGATTCCCTCTGGGGGACTTTCCCCTCTGGTTTGTTAAAAGGGAATATTGTACCTCCTCTCTATCTCTTATAAAGTACTCATTCATTTATCCATTCCTGTCACCTTGTTCAGAGCTCCATCGTTGCATTTAGCATATTGTTTTATAATTGTCTATTTCCTGATCTGTTTCCTCATTAGATTATGGGCACTGTGAGGGCAGGGACAGTCTCATTCGCCTTTGTCTCCCCAGGGTTGAGCCCCATTTCTGACACACAGTGGGCACTGTCTAAGTGCGTGTAGCATGAATCAGGAGTGAATGGGCCTTTCCATGTGCTGCTCTTCCCTGTGCATGGACTCCTAATTAGCACCATGGACTCTCGAAAAACCTGAGTATATCCCTTCCCAATGCTCCGAAAGAAGGTTTCCCAGAGATTTCCGAGATGTTAACATTGAGAAATGTCTGAATTCTTGCAGCTCCTCATTGAAGCTCCCTAAGAGGACATGGCAACTCTGAGGAAGGTAAGGAGAGAGGGACAGGGGTCTGAGTGAGATATTTCATGTTTGTGGCTAGTGTTGTTGAGTCTGAGATAGCTATGCATCCCTGAGTCTTTCAACCATGCACTCGCTGGTGACCACTTTTCTTAGTAAGCTAGTACAACCTTCCCTGTGGAGGGAATTTACCACAGATGATGTCTACTTTTGTCGCATCTTCTATCTATCTGTACTCCTCAAGCTGATGATAGGAATTAAACCTAATGGTCCTCTGAAGAAGAGTGACAGCATCTAGCTAATTGCAAGGGGATTCTGTGGGAGGGAGGTGGGCAGGTGCTAGAAGAAAAGGTGTCAAGGGAACAATCAGGAGTGGAGGATGGATGAGGTTACCTTTACCTCATGGCGGCAGCATGGAAGAGGAGAGAGGAAGCTGCTCCTGTCAATTAAGTGTTTCTACCTCAGCATCATAAGCATGGTGAGAAACAAATTAGTTTGCTTGTTTTTTACTTTGAAGTTTATGGATTCTTTCCCTTCCAAGAGAAGAAAACCACCATCATCATTGCATGTCAATAATAATTGAACATGTGGGTATGTGGTCCCAAGCAGCACATCATTGGCAAAGGGCAACTCAGTTCATCATTTAGAATTTGACAGTTCCTTCATATTCTAAATCATTCACAGCAGAAATGTTGTGTACAAACTGGTGAGTGAGGTGAAAAAGAAGCTCAGGAGAGAATTAAGGAGAACTGGTTCCCAATGTCTCCTCTGCCCTGGAGCTCCCAGCTGATGAAAATTGAGAATGAATTCCATTCCAGAAGCCATTATTTAAGCCTATCATTGATATACAGCAAATGAAAACCCTACGGGATGCATTAAAAGCATAGACTTCTCAGGAGAGCTCTGTCTGCCAGCTGGCCCTCAAAGCCAGCTCTCTCGCCATCCTTCCGTTCCCTCTGTGTTAATGTTAACGTCGTGTTGTGTTGGTGTTGGCCTTGTTAGTGTTAGCTGCCCTCCTACCTCTCTCCCAGCCAGTGCCCAGCAATGAAGCAGAGTAAGTAGAGAATTCATAGCACAGGATCCAGGGACCATAAAGAGGGATTGCCTCAGCATCCTGGATGTGCTCTGGCTGTTTGCTGTTATGGCCACAGCAGACCTTCTCTTTTCTGTGCTTCCAGGAAGCCTGATTGTGCTGAGATTGTGTTCTTGAGGAGCTCCAGTCCAGTGCCTGGTTTGGACTAATCTAAATAAATGTGTGCATCCTCAGTGCATAAGTGTCCATCTGTTTGAGCCCTTCTACAAGGGAAAACCATTTAGAAAGTTGGAACCTTTAGCCAGACTGTATGAAGTCTGTGGACCCTCAGACTCCTCTTTCTCTTCCCATATCCACATTCTCTTCCACAGAGGTTTCTAACACTGTCCTTTTCTCTAGACAGTCTCCGACAGAGCCGACTTCAACTCTGTACAGGACTAGGTGCTAAAAGATGTTGAAGATCACTTGCTCTCTTCCTCTGTGCTCTTTCCAGTATAAGCTGGAAAACAGGATGCACATCTATCATAGAGATGCAGACAGCAGGACACATAAATATGAACATAGCTAATTAAAGACAGAGTACTAAGACTTGAGGGCTGGGAGATACTGAAGAAATTGGAGCAGAGTCTCATTAAGCCCTGGGGACACAACAAAGGTGAGGTGCCCTTGCTTATATGTTTTCATTCTTATAACAAATACGATATTGGAGATATTCTGTAATGGAATCTGCACAAGATAGAAACAATTCCTCCCATCCTAGTATGGGCATGGTGTTCTTCCCATCAAGATTGAGACTCTGTATCTCCTCTCCTTGAATCTGGGCTGACCATGGGACCTGCTTTAACCAAAAGAATGTAGTGGAGGTGATGCTGTGCCAGTTCTGGGCCTAGACTTTAAGAGGTCTAGTAGTTTCTACTTTTGCTTTTGGAAGTCAGCTCCCATGTAAAGAATTCAGTAGAATTATGAGAGGCCACATGGAGCACAACCAAGCATCCCAGCTGACAGCCAGCACCATGACCCTAGATGTGTGTGGCCATCTTGGACCCTCCAGCCCTAGTCAAACCCAATCTACTCCTTGTAAAGTGGAGACAGGTTGTCCTTGCATAGCCCTGCATGAGCACATGAGTGGTTGCTGCTGTTTCAAGCCACTAAATATTGGGGTGGTTTGTTACACTGTAATAGATGTCTGAAACAGCCTTCTATGCATCAGGCACAGACCCTCAGACTTTATCTCTTTCAATCTTCATTTTACAAATGAGGAAGTTGAAGCTTATAAATTGCTCCAGGTAATGCAGCTGGTAAGTAGCAGAGCTAGGATTTGAACTAGTCTGTTTGACTTCAAGCCTCCTCTATTTCCTCTCATCTCTTTTACCCAGTGACCCTCACTGCAGTGGGTCTGAGCTGGAATCAGGAGTCTCAGAAAGAAAAGATTTGTAGGAGTCAGTAAGTATTAGGCAAGGTTTGGAGGAGAAAGGGGATGTGTTTTGGCTGAGAAGAGTGTTCAGACCAAAGGTCTATTTTCAGTTGAGGCAAAGCATCTATTCCAGCCTTTCTCAACTGGTGTTCTAAGGGAATTAAACCCCAGTGTCCCAAGGCATCCATTGTACGTCATAAATGCACTTCTTCCCATGCATCTAGAATGTTACTAGTTATGTACCATCCTTGGGAAAACTGAGAAAATAGTCACACAAATCACTTGTAGGGTCTAACGCGCTTGTGGAACGCCTGATGAGAATGTTGGAGGTGGGCAGAGTCCAGAGCCAGCTGGTCATGTACACACTGGCCAGGAGGCCTCCCTCCAGCTGAAGCAGGACCTAGGTCAGGAAGGAATGAAATACTCCCTTAGGACTATGATGCCCTAAGGATCAGTTAGACCTCGGGCCTCAGCCCGCAGCTCCATGCCTCTGCTGTTTATTGAAGTATTCAAGGGCCATCCCTTAAAGTTCATATATTCTCAACCTTCATGGTGAAGGAGTACAATCATCTTCAGACTGAACAAGACCTCAAGTCACAGTTAATCTTTCTGCATTCAAGGAGAAGTGCACTGGAATCCTTAATTTTTTCATTTATGCATTCATCACTATGGAGTACCTTCTGAACTAAGGCCTACCATGTGCCTGGGAGGGGGAGTAATTTCTTCATTAATTCACTTAGTCATTATTTATCCAAAATCTTAACCACCTGTTCACATGTACCATTTTGGGGTTGAGCTGAGGGGGAAAAATATTTCCCCAATTCGTGGCTTCATGCTGAGTGAAGATTTCTTATGCCTGAAGTCTACATTTTCTGGCCTTGTTGTCATTTTGATGGAGGAGAAAGCAGTTTCATTGCCTTTTTTCTGCTACTGCAACAGCTTTCAAAATCATAATTTGGTATTGGAAAACTGGAGATGAGTTTCCTTAGGGGAAACTAGCTTTCAATTTGCTAAAACTGCCTCCCCTACTCCCTTGAAGGAGGGTGAAGAAGTAAATACAGAGTTTCCCTCCTCCTGCTGCTCCTAGGGGAAGAAGGAATGCAGTTAATGAGCAGCTTCTTTCCCTCTGATCTCCCTTTGCCCGCTAGCTGCCTGGAGACAGGGAAGCTGCCAGGGTGGTTTCCCCGCTCCATGGAACCTGAATCCTATAAGTAACTAAAATTCCACTTTAACCAGCAAGCCCACGGAAAAAGAGGAAATTCTCTTCTCTCTGCTCTTCCTCACATAAACTCACAAGTTCTGGGTCTCCCATCCTTTCCCTATCACCCACCAAATTCCAAGACTCCTTTGCTTCCTGTGGCATTACAATAACATCTCACTCCTGCAAACCTCACCACCTCCACTTCACAGCAAAACACTGGGAAGTAAATGAAAAAGCCTCTAAGAGGCCAAAATAATGGTCATAAACTCTAGAGACTAAAGCTCAGGCTCTTTGTTTACAAGAAGCTCTTCCGCCATTCTTTTAGGGCCTTTTAAAATTTTTAGAACATTTCTGTTAACTGATGGCCCAGCCTATTCACAGGCAACACTTGGAAACAACAAAGAGAGAAATCCCTAATAAGTAGGCTTACGCGTTTTACAAACATAGCTTTTGGTTTAGAGGTAGCAAGTTACAAACACCCCCTGAAAAGCCCCTAACACACATGGTACAAAACTTCTTGTTCATACGTAGCCTCCTAACCTTGTAACTGTGCCGGGCACGATCCTCGCTTCATAGATGAGCGAGGGGTCAACTACAGGCGCCGAGAGGTCAACGATCCTCCAGTCCGCCTAGCCTGCAAACGGAGGAGTCGCGGTTTGAATTTGAACCCAGATCTCCCTGTGTGAAGAGTCCGTTGTTTTCTTTACACCTTGGTGCCTCACGTTCCGAATGTTCTTCCTTAAAGAGCTGACGGAAGACGTACTTCTTAGAGAATCTCGATATACTGAAAACATAAATGTTTTGGTGCTTCCGTAAGTTGGTAAAATCACAACTGGGCAACTGTGGCAAATGCGGCGCTTGCATATGCAGGGAGCCCAAGGAAACAAACTTCTTCAGGCAGAGGGTTAGTTTTGGAGCCGACGGCCGCAAGGAGGGTTAGGTACCCCCAAGCCAGTCCCCAGGGCGGCTGGAGGCCCGCAAACCCGGGAGAAGCAGGAGGGGGCGGAAAGACGGGATGGCAGGGCGCGAAACCCACGCTCATTGGCCCGTTCCCTTGCCCACCGCCTGGAGGCCCCGCCCCTCCCAGGCCCGGCTTCGCTCGGCTCCCGTCCCGGACGAAGGCTGGTCTCCCGGGCGCGCGCGCTCGCGGCCCCGGGGCTGCGGCCCTCCGGATAGTCTTTCTTGGAACCGCTCTCCACGCGGCCCCCACCTGCAGACTTCCGGCCGGCTGCCCGCCGCCGCCCCGCCCCCAAGGAGGGGGTTGCTGGGATCCGCCAATCGCTGAGCGTCTGTGGTAGGAGTGGGTGGGGCCTGAGAGATTCGAAAGGAGCCCCGCCCCCAGGAGCTGATTCCCGGGACTAGGCTGTGGAAGGAAAGCACCTTTCGCGGGAGGTGAGGCCGCGCCAAAAGTGAAAACTGAGGGTGGGCCGGAGGGGGTGGTCTGTGAGTGTGGTGCCTTGGGGAGTGGAAAGGTGGATTGCGTGGAGGAAGAACCCGGAGGATGGTGGCGGGAGGAAGGTGGGGCGCGCAGACCGCCCCCAGCGAGGAGAGGCCGGGTCGCAGAGAGCCGGGAGGGCAGTCTGCGGAGGACGATGGGGGTGCAGGAGGGGCTCCCCGCACCTCCCCCGGAGCTACCGGGTAGTTACAGGGGCACGGGCTACTCCTGGGACGCTTGCTTTACCTCCAGCATGACCCTAAACCCCTGGCTTGCACCCTGAGTCTAGCTGGGAGCCTTGGGCAGGATGGAGACCTGAGGAGAGGTGTGTTTTCTCTCCCGCTCAGGTCTAAGCTACCTCTTGCTCCTGCTGGCTGGAACATGGGAGATTTGGAGGAAGGTAAGGAAACCCTGGAGGACGGAATGATGAGGCCCTGAGGTTTAGAGCCGTGTTAGGGAGCCGAGGCTGGCATTCATTCTTTCCTCCTCTACAGATGTGAAGTTTATAGTGGATGAGACCTTGGACTTGGGAGAGCTGTCACCATCTGACAGGTACCAGCCTCTTTATCCCACCTACTGTCCTCCAGCAAGGCCGCTTTGTCTGTAACCCCTTACTGCTGAATTACTGGCCTCTGGGGCCTGGGTTGGTAATTTAGCAAGGTTGGGTGCACAGGGGCTGCTGGGGTTGACTGGGGTTGACTTGGGTCTCTGTGACACTACTGGGGGAGCGAGAAGGGATAAGCTGGAGTGAGATTCCAGGGTGTTAGGGAGAAGGGTAAGTGGATTTGCCTCTTCCTCCTGGCATAATTTCCAATGTCAGTAAATGCTGCAGGCCTGTTCGGTCTCATAGAACCAGGCATCTCATCAGCTAGAGGCCGGCTCTCACAGCCAGCATGGGCGTCAGGGTTTGGGGTTGTGTCCCTGGCTCTGATGTGGGGGTTTTCCCACTCTCCCTTGCACAGCCTCCTGCTCTCTAATGTGTGGGTATGGGGCCTGGTTTGCTTTCTCAGTCGTGAAGAGGAAGACATAGCAGTGTTGATGACTCCGGAGAAACCCCTCCGACGAGGCCTCTCCCACCGAAGTGACCCAAATGCAGTGGCCCCCGCCCCCCAGGGTCTGAGGCTCAGCTTAGGCCCCCTCAGCCCAGAGAAGCTGGAGGAGATCCTGGATGAAGCCAACCGGCTGG